TTTTTTTAAAGAACCAAAACAATTAGAGATATATGATTTATATTTGACTTTTGTTCGTCTTTTCCTTTGCTTTGTAGAAGTTGTACACTGTGTATATGTCTTTGTTTTTTCTTTGATAAAAGAACTGTTTCCCCATCTTTATTTTTTTTCATATTTACGCGAATAGTTGAACCTTTTTGGCTACGAAAACAAAAACACAAAGCTAGTCTGAGAAACCTAGTTTGATTCTCATTCATTTTTTAAAAGCAATTTTTAACATATCGAACTTTATCTTCCCATGCACTATTAACTAACAGCTAAGAAATCTTTATATAATCCACTCAAGTTAAATGAAATTAAATTGTCAAATGATCTTCATCTTTATATATTTCACTATAAGTAATACAATCACAAGTAAAAAGTATTTGTTAGTCGAAATGGGTAATCACCATAAAAAAAAAACTTAAAAAACAATTTCGGTGGTTTATAAAATGAAAGAAAGAAAGAAGAAAAGACAAAAAAGAGAGAAGAATGGGGGAGAGGAGAGGGACGTGGCCGATCTGAAGACACTGACAACTTCCAACGGCCGGCGGAGACACCACCACCCCTATCATCATACTACCATATATGCATAAATACTCAATTACTGATCTCTCTCTTCTTTTTTTTTACGTATTTTCATTTCTCTTTTTTTTCATCTTTTTAATTATTATGAATGTTGATCTCATTTTTATAATTCTATTATTCTTATATGCTTTAAAAGAAAAAAAAACAAAATATGACATAAACGCAGACCGTTTTTCAGCTTTTGTCCCGACGATCTTTTTTCACTTTAACCCCAACATTATTATTCAAAGTTTCAAAAAATATATTTGAATACTCGCCTTTTTTTTTTCTTCAAAATAAATATACATTGCAGATTTTTCTATAATTTTCTTTTTGATGAAAACAATCTAATGCTATTAAATTGATGATAAGGTTTCCATTATGTATTGTATGGCCGAGAACGGTGCTTGTGACTGATTTGAAGTATGCATTAAACTAGTACATTTCAATGGATGCTATGTTATGATTCAGGTCAGTAGTTCCAGTTACTACTACTATCTTTAACAAATTAGTCATATATAGTTTGAGATACTTTTAAAAAATATTATTCTTCGGCTAAAATATCTACTTGAAAGCCAAAGGTTTGCACCAATAACTAAGTAGTATATATACCATCAAATGGACTATAGACTTCATTTTAGCTAAAAAAAGCTTTGAAAAACGTATTTTATAGGTTAATTACATTCGTATGTGATAGTATTATATATTTTTATTTTGTTTAATTTGCATAGTAACGTATCGATAACACAACACTATATAGAACTACTAGTAGATTATAAATTCTTATTATCTCCCTATTGAATTTTTATTTTTGCACAAATTGCAGACCGGCTCATTAGATTAAACAAAACATTTACTTTGCTTTTCAATCTGGTCATGTGTTGCGATAAATGCTGTAAATCCATCAGAACTAACTCAAAACACCATTTGATGGATTCTCTTTTGCATTTAACTTGGCAATGTTGTGTCACTCTTGAAAGCTTCGAATTCTTTCTTTCTGACATACCTATATACTACTCTTTGTCCATTTAATTGATTTCTATTAAAGGTCTAGTGTGGGTGGTTACTAAATAACGTGAAACATTGTTGTAAATGCATGCGTTAAAACTAGATAAAATGCAACAGAGAAAAAAAAAAGGGAAAGAAAAAACATAATGTTGCAAAGAGAGCTCAGAGACTTTTATATGGAAATGGAAACTCAGCTTTTTGTAATTTATTGTAAGTTTTGTAACCACATTTTCACCAGTATAACATTTTTATTGTTTTCCTTGGATTTGGTTGCATTCTTTTTAGATATTCTCCCCCTCTCGGAGTCTAGTAGAGTCTACTACAAAACAAAACTGCATAATGCAATTCTTGTGTTTTATTGTAGCATGATTTAACATAAAATAAACTTGTGAGAAAACCACATAAAAACATTAACATTTTTAACATCAAATTTTCAAACTATTACGTACTAATATTACCTTACCTCTCACAATATATCGCTCATGAAGTCGAATTGAATAAAACTGATGATTTTCAAGAAACATAATTAAGAGCACGTATAGCAATAGAGATAAACGACATGAGGAATCAAATATCTGTAGCAGTTACATTCATGCTCGTCCTTGGAATAAATCAAAAGTGGAACCATCTTCAAGTTTAACCACATAAACCTAAAAGAACCAATCGATGTTTATATACTGTACGTAAACAAGAAACGTACGAGTGAAACCATCAGGCAAATTCGTGTGGCTGTAAACAGAGAATGATGGTAAAGTTTCTTGCGAACGATGCTGGTATGAAATGTTAATCCAACCAGTCGAAAACAAAACCAGTAAAGAAAAGTGGGTTATATATACAAAACAAATGAAAAGCTTATATAAATCCATATATATATATATATATATAACAAGCAAAGCAAGTGTGGTGATTTGATATATTAATGTCTTTGTGTATAGAACATGTTTTATATTAGTGGTCGGGTAAATCATTAGTTGTCAAATGTTTGCTTGTTTTTGGTAGTGATTAACGTGTTTTGCCAAGTGTTATCCCTTAAATAATAAAAACATCAGTGGAAGATGAAAGAGGAGGATGGTCCCCAAAGAGAGAAGAAACGGGGAATTGTGTAATATAAATAACGGTGGGACGGGGAAAAAATAAAAACTATTAGACTTTGAAGTTGATCAAGTAGGGGAGGGGCATGTGTTGTTGTTACTACGGCTTAGCTGTCCTCTTCCCTCTGCATTTACTCTTTGTGGGCCTCTAAGGCCCATTTCTCTTCCCTCCATCTTGTTTTTTCTTTTCACTTTTTTATTATTTTATTTTATTTTCCTTTTTTAAAATTCTTTTCAAATTGGTTTTTAATTTTGAAACTATATTTAAAAAAAAAAACCTCGTATAATCTCCACTAATAACATTGAGCTTTTGAGTTTATGCCTTCTTCTTCTTCTTATTCCATTTCTTGTGTGTGTGTGTTTTGTGGGCCTTTTTGAGACGAAAGATGTGTAGATTTTTGGTTCTTCTTAATCATCATTCTTTCTATTTAAATACCCTTTATGTGATTTGATATGTTGGATGGTTAATTCTGTTAATTGATGATGTTTTTTTTTTCTTAGTTTTTTCATGAATGAGATAATAAATTTATAATACTCACATTTTTGATTTTGTTAAAACTTTCTTCTACTGTTTATTTATTTTTTGTTCCGCACTAACGATCTTGTCTAATATTAGAGGGAAACTATTATTTTTTGTTTATATATGGACCTTTTAAATCGTGACATTCATATATATATATATATATATATATATATGTATCTATTTATCTTAACTGAAAAAACTTACTAATGAAAATTAATTTAACAAAGGAACTTACTGATGAATTATAACTGTCATTAGTTTGTGATTTAATTTAACTGCATTTTATCAATAATGGATATATTTATTTCAATTGACAAAAAGGAAAAGACTATTTTCATATGTTAGTAATAGTAAAAAAATCAGAAATGGAAAACCACCAAATTTTCTGTCGGTATTTCTATTAGAAAGAGATACTGTATGTAATATATATATACTATATGCTATTTTAGGAAAAGAGATACTATATTAATAGTTTATTTTATCAGGGAAAAAGAAAAGAAAAGAATAATGCACTAAATCCTCTTCTCTACAACTACACGCCCTTCTTTATTTTAAACAAAAAAATTAATGGACTCTAAGCAAAGCATATGGCAAATACAACTAATAAACATTATTGTACGCATTTTACATATCACACATATTTGATCAAATCAAAAATTAAAATCATATAGTTTGTATTATTATTATAAACCTTCTCTTTTGTCGGAATTTAAAATTAATATTATTTTTATATCTCTTTTAAAGATCTAATTTCTGGATGAAACACTTTGGTTTTCAGCGCTTACAAAGTGCTCAAAGGGCCACTAAAACTACGAAAAATTAAACACAAGAGAGAGAGAAGAAGAGCACACAAAAAAAAACAACAGAAACAAAAAAAAAAACTTCTCTTTCTTTCTTTCTCTGTCTCTCTCTCTCCATTGATTTCTCTACACAGACATCTCTACGAACCTCTCTCCCCAACTCATCTCTCTCTCTCTCTCTCTCTCTCTTTGCTCTTCATCGGATCTGACTTCTTCCCGAAAACCCACAATCTGATTCTTCGAATTCTTCAAAACACGCTTAGTCCCCAAATTCAACTTACATAACCCCCAAATCACCTAATCCACTACAAAAGTTTCAATCTTTTTGACTTTGAGACCGCACACAAACAAATTTATAGAATTTGATTCAAAAAAAAAAAGTGTGTTTTGGGCTGAGACTTTTTGTTTCTCTGTTTGATCCAATTCTCCGGCGAAGGAATTTTCCGATGGGAATGCCTTCGCTGGCTTCTTCAACACTCCCACGACCATGAGCTACCATAACGAGGAAGAGGAGGAAGGAGGTGACAACAACGATTGCTTTTACGAGTCTCTTGATCGTTTAGCCTCTTCCTCTTCTTGCTCTTGCTCTGCTTCTAACTCCGATTACGATTCCGAATCCTCTCCTCGGATCTCCTCCTCCTCCGTTTCTCATGACCCCGAAGAGCTCAAAGCTGCTGTTGCTCGCCGCCGTCGATACCCGTTCCCTGTTCCTCGGTTTCCAATGGGGGCTTCAAAGTTCGACGTTTGGATCTCTGAGCCTGCTTCTGTCTCCGAGAGGCGTTCCAAGCTTTTGAACGAAATGGGTCTCAGCCGTGACCCGGTTCTCTCCCGGTTAAAACCCGGCTCCAAAGAAACGGGAGCCTCCTCCGACATTTCCCGATCCATCTCTTGTAATCAGTTGGCTCGCCGAGATCATGGTGAGTGTTCTGCGAGTGTCGGCGGTTGTGCTTCTTGCATCGTGAGATCGAAATCCGACATCACCACTAGCCAATGTGGCGATCGTGACCGTCGATATTTGTCTCCGGGTAATGCTTGTTCTTGTCCCGTCTCTAATCTCTCTGTCCATCATCGTTCACATTCTGAGATCAGTAGAACAAGCCCGTCATTTGTGAATTGCAGTTTCGGATCAGGTTGTGCTGATACGGCAATGCTTTGTGAGAATTCAAGTGATTCCTTGCGGTTAAATGGAGTTTCTGGTTGTGTATTGAGCGAGAGTGTAGTGAATGAGAATGTAATAGAAGCGTGTACTATTAAGAATCTGGATAATGGGAAAGAGTTTGTGGTGAATGAGATTCAAGAAGACGGTACATGGAAGAAGGTAAAGGAAGTGGGAACTGGAACACAGATGACTATGGAGGAGTTTGAGATGTGTGTTGGACATTCTCCCATCGTTCAGGAGCTTATGAGAAGACAGAACGTTGAGGATTCTGATAAGAACACGTCTAAGGAAAACGAAGACAGTGGGAATGGTAATAAGGATAATGCATCCAAGTCTAAGAAGAAAGGAAGTTGGTTTAAGAGTATTAAGAGTGTTGCAAGTAGCATGACTGGTCATAGCAAAGAGAGAAGAAGCAGTGACGATAGAGATACATCTTCAGAGAGAGGTGGTCGGAGGTCGAGCTCTGCTACGGATGATTCTCAGGAATCTTCTTTTCACGGGCCAGAAAGAGTTAGGGTTAAACAGTATGGGAAATCATCTAAAGAGCTTACGGCATTGTACAAGACACAGGAGATTCCAGCGCATAACGGGTCTATTTGGAGCATTAAGTTTAGTTTGGATGGTAAATATCTTGCTAGTGCTGGTGAGGACTGTGTCATTCATATTTGGCAAGTCGTCGAGGGTGAGAAGAAGGGTGAATTGTTACTTGATAGACCGGAACTGTTGCTTTTGGCTAATAATGGGTCTCCAGAACCAACTACTATGTCACCAAGGAGAAGAGGGAGAACCTCTATAAGCAGAAAGTCATTGAGTCTAGACAACATATTTGTGCCGGATTCTCTTTTCGGGCTTTCAGAAAAGCCTTTTTGTTCCTTTCAAGGACATGTTGATGATGTGCTTGACCTTGCTTGGTCCAAGTCTCAGGTTAGTTTGTCAGTTTATTTTCTTGGTACTGTTTGGAAGAAATTGATTGGTAGTGTTAGATTTATGAGTAAACAAGCTTTCTGTTACATGTTTTCTCAGCATTTGCTTTCTTCGTCAATGGATAAAACAGTTCGTTTGTGGCACTTGTCCAGCCAGACTTGCTTGAAAGTATTTTCGCACAGTGACTACGGTTAGTAGATTCTGCTCCAGCTGCTTTTAGTTTTTCTGTCTTTTGGTACTTGTCAAATTAACAATGTTTGTGTTTTGCTTATTGATTGGAACAGTGACTTGCATTCAATTTAATCCGGTCGATGATAGATACTTCATCAGTGGATCCTTAGATGCAAAAGTTCGTGTCTGGAGCATTCCAGATCGTCAAGTAGTTGACTGGTATGATCTTCATGAGATGGTCACTTCTGCGTGTTACACTCCAGACGGTCAGGTACACTCTATTACTGAGTTATTATCTAACTAAAGTCAGTTTTTTCCGCATCTCATGAAGCATCTTTAAAGAGTTTCCTATCTTTCTAAAGAAATTCTGTTTTAAACTTGAAGGCTGCGTTGGTTGGTTCATATAAAGGTAGCTGTCGCATGTATAGTGCATCAGGTAATGATCAAGTTCTTGCTGAGAATTTATTCCGCTTTTCTTTCTGTGATTTCTTATGCTTTAACACCAAATTATATTTATCTTTATCAGATAACAAGCTGCAGCAGAAAAGTCAGATAAATTTACAGAACAAGAAGAAGAAAGCTCATCAGAAAAAGATAACTGGTTTCCAGGTAATGAAAATCACTTCTTCAGGAGCAGAATCTGATAAAACAAAAGGCGTTGTTCTTGATGGCTCTAAAAGTTCCTTGCTTTGTCTCATTTCATACCTTAGTTTGTGCCTGGGAGCTCATCTGAAGTGCTTGTCACATCTTCCGATTCACGGATCCGCGTTGTTGATGGAACTGATCTGGTTAACAAACTTAAAGGTAGGCAAACAAACAATCGCCTTCATTTTTTGTTGTTAATAATATATGAAGCTTTGTCTTCTGTTACTTCATTCGCTAGCCAAAGTATCGATATTTTATGTTTTCATTTCATTTGACAGGGTTTCGGAATACAAGCAGCCAGATCTCTGCCTCGATCACAGGAGATGGGAAATACGTAGTTTCAGCGAGCGAGGATTCGCATGTGTACATATGGAAGTACGAGTCCCCTGCTTCTCGACCAAGCAGAAGTAGTAACAACAAGAACGTGGCGGTTACAAACTCTTATGAGCATTTCCATAGCCAAGACGTCTCTGCAGCTATCTCATGGCCCGGAATGGCCTCAACAGAAAACTGGGGAACCCAAAACAGAGCCGGGGTTAACGGAAACACGAATAATTTGGACAATGTCTCCACAGCTAACCATCCTCCTACACCGGTGGAACAGCCAGGGACGCTGGACCGAGGGAACAGTCCACGGAACGGGATCATATCAAGCGCAACAAACGGATACTTTTTCGATAGAATGTCAGCGACTTGGCCTGAAGAGAAACTGTTGTTTGGAAGGAACAGAAGTGGGAATCGTCTGAGTACGGATTTGTCGTCAAATGGAGTAGTTGGTAACTCAGGGAATGTATCGGCTTCGTGGGGAATGGTGATTGTCACTGCAGGTCTAAGAGGAGAGATACGAACATTTCAGAACTTTGGTTTGCCCATTCGGATTTGATATAAAGTGTACAGAGTGGTGAAGAAAAAAGCGAGTGAGGTTTGTATGATTTTTTTTAGCGAGTTTTTTTTTTGTTTTTCTATTCTTCTGTTACAGATTCGTTTCCAGGAAAATGGAGAAGAAAAAAAAAAGAGAGAAAGAAACTATACTGATCATTGTAGAGTTACAGACACGAACAGTGAGATATGTTTATTGATTTGGAAATAGAAACAGAGCCAAAAAAAAGAAAGGGAAAATTCTTTTGCATCTCTCTCTCTCTCTATCTTTCCTTTTTAATGAAGGCCCATGTATAGCTCGACTCGGCCCATTAATATTCCTTTTATGAAGCTACGAAACGTTGTCGTTTCTGCTGTGAAATTAGTTAAAGCAGCTGTCTCTAGGTTGAGTTTGGTAGTCTAAAACCCTAAAGACAGAGATTTTAGCATTGTTTGTTTCTTCTTCAATAAACAACAAAAATGGGGAAGAAGAGAAAGCATAGCGAGACCGAAGCTCCAGCACCGATGAAGGAGAATGATTCTGCTCCCGAGAGACCTAAAAGGACTCTCTTGGGTTGGAAAGATAAGAATGAAGACGCTGAGAAATCTAAACCAGCGTCTGCGTCTGGATTCAGGAATAAAGAGAAGGTTCTCGTTACTTGTTCCCGACGGATCAGTTTCAGGTGAGGCGTGTTGAAATTTACTTGTAGGGCTGTAATTTGGTATAATGGTGGACAATGATGGGAGTAAACTTTGTTTGAATCATTGGAAGGTATCAGCATTTGATGTTGAACATAGTGTCACTTCTCCCTCACTGTAAGAAGGATAGTAAGGTAGAAGCTAAGAGTAGTAAAGGCGCCACTCTTAATGAGCTTGTCGAGCTTAAGGGCTCTTCTTCCTCTTTGTTTTTCGAGGTAATTTTTCAATCTTTTTGGTACCTTAAAAAAAATTCCAAATCAATTGCTGTTCTAGGGTCTGCTCTTCATAAGTGTCTTTTCATAATCAACTTTTTTTCAACATGTTGTCTTATCCCTCTTTAGTATGAATTGTAATTTGGTAAACCTATCATGCCATAGAAGATAGATGATACGATGGAATTGATGAAATCTTTTTTCCTAGTCTAAATTTGGGCTCTTTAGTCTCTGGAGTATAAAACTGCAACATGAATGTCTTCTCGATTCCTTTCAAGAAATTGAAGTTGGTATGTGTATTTTATTATTTTCGTCTGCAGTGTAGGAAGCATAAAGATCTTTACTTGTGGATGGTCAAGTCCCCAAGTGGACCCTCCGTTAAGTTTTTGGTTAAGGCTGGTATTGTCTCTAGCTCCGCTTATTTAGTGTTCAAGATAGCTGGTCGATTTGATCATTACTTTGTGTAATAATGAACTGATCAACTTGTAGCTTTCTTGTTTCTGAGTTGTTTTTGTTTGGTGAAGTTCACACAATGGAGGAGATGAAACTCACAGGAAATCATCTGAAAGGTTCTCGCCCACTTTTGACATTCTCATCCAATTTTGATAAAGATGCACACTGGAAACTTCTGAAGGAGATGTTAACTCAGGTCATCCCCATTTTCATTATTTCTTTTAATTGTGGATGAACCTTTTGTAGTAGTACCTGTTTAGTTTGGTTTATATCTTAGATTTTTATAGTGAGTTTTGTATTCGCTTCCAGATTTTTGGAGTTCCCAAGGAACACAGGAAGTCTAAACCTTACCATGACCATGTGTTTGTTTTCTCCATTATCGATGACCATATATGGTTCCGAAATTACCAGGTAGGTTAAGAAGTAAGCATCTCAGAAACTAGTCTCATTTCATTTCAGTTTGAAATATTAACCAGCCAAGGTCTTTTTTTTTTTTACCCTTTCCATTGCAGATATCGGTACCTCATAACGAGTCAGACAAGATTGCACGAGGTGGTCTGGATAAAATGACACTTATTGAGGTCTAGCCATGACCATTTCTAACAAATATTTGCATAGTTTCTTATGAACGAGTTTTTTGATTGAAATAAAATATGATGACAGGTTGGTCCAAGGTTTTGTTTAAATCCAATTAAGATTTTTGGAGGCAGCTTTGGTGGTCCAACGCTTTACGAGAACCCATTCTATGTATCTCCAAACCAGGTACTTAGGTTCAACTTGATGAGATAACATTGTTTTATGATTTTCTCTGTCCAAGTTTTCATTTTCTTTTACATTTTTCTTCCTTTTAAGATTCGAGCTTTGGAGAAAAGAAATAAAGCTGGGAAATTTGCTAAGAAGATCAAGGCAACAACGAGAAGAAAGATGCATGAGCTTGCAAACCCATTGGAGCCTGATGAATTTGCAGACATGTGGAAGGATGAATAATAATATTCGACAAACTTTTTTTGTTGTTGTAAACATATAATTTACAGAATCACCACACTTTTGTCTTGACTATAAATTGAGATTCTTTTCTCCCTCCAATCAATCAAAAAGTGAGATTCTTTTCTTGCAATTTTGACACTTGGTGAATTGTGATCTCAAGAAGGAACAGAGCAATTTGATTTCTTTATCGTCGTCATAGTGCTAATATTACATAAGCATTAAAATAGAACACAGCAAGAAAAAAATTAAGAGTTACGTTTAGAAGGAAAGTTAACGAGAATTAGCCAGCGCCCAGTTAGCCTCACTTCCTCTTCTGGGGATGCCATTGATCTTAGAACAAGCATCAACTTTGAAATTAGCTCCACAAATAACACCTTCACTATCAATCCTCGGCATTGCCTTCATCTTATTGGTCGGATGTTCAAAGCTCTTAAGTCCTGTCTCACTGTGAAACATACACCCTGCATATAAAAAAAAATCATCAAACTTCAAAATCCCAACTCAAAGTTTCTTCCTTTACTATACGGTGAAAGAATATAAAGTGTTTTGCTTTACCAGTAGGGAAAGGAGCAAATGATTTAGCACAGCCTTGCTTAATGATCTGAAGATCATCAGACATCACAACAGATCCGTCTCCAGAAATCCCCCAGTAAAGACTCTCTCCTCCATCAGAACTCAGAGCTGAGAAAACAGAGGAGGTCTGAGAATCGTAGACGACGAAGGCAAAGCTTCCATCGAGACCTCTAAGAACTTGATCAGCTGGGTAAGGACCACGATCACGAAGTGTTCGGTATGCTTCGATCACAAACATAGCCTCGTTCGAGTTCTTCCCAGACAAACCGTACTGTCGGTTCAACGTACAGAGGTTGTTCAATCTCCCAAGAAACATACAGTAAAGCCCATCAAGTCCACAGAATAGCCTGAGAAGAACACAAAACCAATAGATTTATGAATCAGTGAGATGGATCTAAGGGTTTGAATAATATGTAGTATATATATATGTATATACCTCTGGCGAAGAGAGGTTTCTTGGCGAGCGTAAGCTAGGACGGCGGATCCACCGAAGTTCATGGAGAAAGCAGAGTCTTGGTGACGAGAGAGGAAGTCGGAGAGAGTTTCTTCGGGAAGTTTAGGGGTTTTGCCGGAGAAATGAGACGCCGGACTGTTGAGCTCCTCCGGTGGGTGAGCAAAAGCTTTCTGAAATATAGCCAACATTTTTTCTTTTACCTTTGTTTCTTTGATTAATCAGATGTGTTTTGAGTTTTTTGTGATATGTTTTGTGAAGAAAAGGGAGGTGTGTATTTATATACATACGAGGTTATTACACGAGATGCTGACTTGGATTTTTAGATAAGACTGACATGTCTGACGTGTTCTTATCCGTTTTCTCTTTTTTTAAAGTCAATCTTATTCTATAATTAAATTTGTTTTAAATATGGTAGGTAAATAAACAAACTGTGATTCCAACGATGATTTAGATATTTTAATTTTGGAAACGTAATCTTTTCTTTTTTTGGGGTAAATGATATGATTCTTTCTTTTTTGTTGTTTTGTCAAGTTGGAAAAGTGATTGGATTTTTTTTTTTTTGACAGCGAAAGAGTAGTTGTATGATTTATGATATCTTTTAGTAATCATATGATAATTTTGAGTATCACAATATTTATGGTGTACCGAAACTTAAGGATGTGTATGAAATATGAATGCACTAATCTTTTAAGATATGTTAATTTTGGTAATTAGCCTTTTCTCTGCTCTCATTTCTAATTTTAATCAATTTATTTATTTATTAGTATCTATTTATGATCTTTTAGAAGAAGATCAAAATTATGATCAATTTAAGTCAATTATGATTTTGAAGTTGTATCTGATGTAGAAGAAGAACAAATAAAAGCTACAATCTACGCAATTTTCTACCAATTCGGTGTTCCTCCGTATTATCGAGGGATCGTGATACTATGAATTTTTTTGGCATCAATGTTGTTTTACTAGGAGATGTGACATTCTGAATGAATACATCGATTAACAACTTGCTAATGGTGGTGATGGGATTGCGAAATGAATAATACATCTTTAGAGAACTTTCTAATGCTGGTGATGCCATTGCAATATCTCTGAGGCTTGAGCTTATATGGCTATAGTTGGTTGTTTATATTTCACTTCTACATTCTATAAGTTTCTGAAGGCTGAAGCCTCAATAATTTGTAAAGTTTCAGTGTTGTACCAAGACTATAATGTCATTGTGCTGTTGACGTTGCAAAGCTTCTTTAGATTACTAACTCATGTCATGATTCTCTGCCAGTAAGTTGGGTGATCCGAAAATATCTTCTATTACTCTCACACCTCGGAAAATCAAAACAGATACAAATCATACAAATTACACTTACAGTTAAATCCAATCTCAATCCGGTTCATACAAACAAGGTTATTCATCTGCCTTGGATCAACAAAGCCTGCTACGAGAACGGCCACAATGGAGAAAAATTTCAGTTGGTTCTAAGCAGCCGCGGAGCGAGTCATGACCAAGCTGAGCTCTTTCGTTATCCCCAAACCCAAAAATGCGACCACGTTGAGTTACCACAATGGTGTGATACAAACCGGTGCTAACTTGAGAGACACGGTGTGGTTTCAGACACTCCAATACTCTTGGTCTCAGAACTTTGTCTGAAACTCCTCTGTCTGGGAACCCAAGGCTTCCAAACCCCATCCACCCAAATCCATACAGTAATCCACCTTCCACCAAAACAAAAGTCTTCCTTTTTCTTGCACACACCTGCAATAAAGATTAAACAGAGTCATGATTAGGGCTGTCTAAAATCTAAATCCGGTTGAACTGATCCTTGACTAATCAAAACTCCAAACAAAAAAAAAGCAAGCACATTCAGCTTCTTTTTTTATATATTAGCAAATCTGAATGTAATCTCAATTTATAATGAAAATCCTTTAGACCAAGATACGTTTTGCTATATACGGATCCAGACCCAAGTTTTATTTCTACTTGATCTGATCACTTATTAGTTCTTAGAGACGGCTCAAGTTCTTAGAGAATACAGGGAACAAGGTGTAAAGGGATCATTATCTCAGATATTGAGATGGAACAGATAGAGAAGAATCTGACCTGGACAGCAAGGGAATTCTTGAGATTAACCAAAAGTTGAGGAGTGATCTTGTCGTTTTCGTCTCCATGGCCTAGAGCACCGCAGTAACCTTTACCCCATGTGTAGACCTAAAGATTAACTTAAGTAAAATAAGGTTTCTTCTGTTTTCTGTAACCAAAGGGAGACAAAAAAGATGAAAACATAGAACTTACACGGCCATTGGAATCAAGTGCCACAGCGTGTTCATCGCCTGCAGAAACACGAAGTATATGAATATCTTTTCTTTTAAAAGCCTGAATAACACGAGGCTGGAGCCCGTCTTGTTGCTCTCCATGACCAAGGCAGAAGTTAGAACCAGAGCCAAACGAGTAAACTGAGCCATCCTCTGTTACAGCTAAAACATAGCTGGGTCCAGCTGCGACTTGCACCACAGGGCCAATGCTTTTAAAAAACTCAACAACTTTGGGTACTGGGCTGTCCGCGGTATCGCCATGACCAAGCTGCCCATGTGTATTTGATCCACAAGTATAGACACGCCCTTCCCTTGATAGAAACACAGTGAAGTGAAGCCCAGCAGCCACCTGGTGTAGAAGAGTAGTTTGTCAATGTTCGATAGACTCAATTTAGAAAACCAATTTATCTAGATTGGGTTGGTATCAATTTCACCTGCTTACAAGGAGTCCCCTTCAAAGCCTCAACAAGCTTAGGCCTAAATATTGGACGGCTAGTATCTAAATGACCACAGCAATGCGATGAATTATCCCCACAAGTGAGAACCTGTGCCAGATTTCAAATATATTTGTTGGTAAGTGATTATGGAAAACAACAATATACTCATAGGATAGGTTTAAGTGAAACAGAAGCTACCAACCTCTCCAGATTGCAATACAAAAGCAGAATGGTTCTGTGTGGCTGAAACTTGAGCCACTTGAGCAGGGAACGGAAATTCTATAGGCGTAAATGCTACGCATTGAGTAGTTTCAGGGCCATGAGCAAGAACACCAGACAAACTTACACCACAAGAATAAACCTTTGAGTTGTTGATTAGCAAAGTGTGATACTTTCCTGTTGCAATTTGCATCTGCAGAAAGAATGAAAAAAATGCATTTGAGACTTCTTAACCAAATTAACCAAGAATCAACATAACATTTTGAGCTATATTCCTAAATTAGGAAGCCTAATCATTAAAACATGTTCTTCATAGCAACTTGACAAAGCTACGTAACACTAGTGTCTATATGAAATGAAATATTCACCAATAGAAGCAAAGACAAAAGTAAATGGATACATACTTTGCCTTGAGAGGTTTCAACCATATCTGAGGATTGCTCAACCGACTGTAAGAAACTCAAAAGCCGCTTCCAGTTTCCTTCACAATTGGCAAAAAGCTCTTTCTGTGTAGTCAAACCCATTCCCACATAGACAGGATGCGCAGAGCAAAGCTGAGACGCCGCATAATCAGCTAGTGATTTGAATTTCAAAGAGTAGAATCCATGGCTCCCACCGAAAACCTTTGAGGTCAATTCCAAGCTAAGTAGATCAACCGCGCTAAGCCGCCCAGAGGTCAACACCTCCAAAATCAAATGAGAAGGAAGATCCACGAACGTAATCAACCAGTTCCTGTCAGCCATTTCCTTCCTTGCTAATATCCAAAAACAGAGTTTTACGATGACCTAATCGAAACTAAAAGACGAGACTTTGGGTGGCTTCAAGCTACAAGAGGGCGAAAGGGGCAAAGCTTTCAGGAAGAAAGGTCAGATTTTTAGGCGAAATCTGGAGCAATTGAAGTAGCGGATGAAGAACACGTTGGATGGTAGAAAGAGATAAGAAATGGAATAGGGAAAAGGAGTTATAGATGAGAATCTCGCAGTTGGTCTATTCGAAGATCGAAAACTAATCATGAGAAGGGGTCAGATCGCAATGAATCAATCCACGCCAGATTCTGCGAAAAAAACCCTGCAACTCAGAACAGAACAATCCACAATCAATGAACTAAACCAATCACCCAAAAAAGGAGAAAAATTTCGATTGGAAACCGTACAATTGAAATCGAAATAGGGGTTTGAGACGAGAAATTGGAGAGGAGCAAAAGAAGAGAAGAGGTTAGTGGTGATAGATCCTTACCTGGAAAGCAAAAGCTCTTGACTTTTTTTGTTTCGGTGCCCACTTAAACAAATGAAACCAAAAAGTCTAAAAAAGAGCTTTAATTATAAGAAAATGGTGAAAGACGTGTGAAGAAGAATAGAAAAAATTTAGTGGAAAGTTCAATATCTTGCTTCTGAAGCTTCTTTTGTGGCGATTCTTTCTCTCTGTCAAGAGAGATGTTTGCAAGCTTTACGTAGTCGTGTTGACACTCTCTGTTTCCTTGTGCTTCACCACTTCTTTTTATTAATTTCTTCGGTATCTTATGTTCAAATCCGGTTTGGTAGTAATCTTTTTTTTTAGGAATTCACGGTTTTCAGTTGAATATTCTTCGGTTTCACAAAATTCCCCGGTTTAACTTTATTTTTTTAATCTAAGATTGCTGTGGTTCGCGTGATTGACACGTGGAAGACTGGATTACACACGCAAAATAATCTGCCCTTCCTTCTTATGGGCTTTTAGGTTATAATAATAGGCCCAAAACAGGTATCTGGTAAGTTGTAACAGAGCAAATTTTTACAAAGACGAAGAAGAAGAGAAGCAAAACCAATTTGATAGGACGAACGAATCGTTCTTCCTCCTCTTAATCTTGTTCATCAATTCCGACACTTTTAAGGGTCTTCGTATTTGCCCGAACGATTCAAGGGAAAAAAGAAAGAGGTGAACCATTCTCAACATAAATTTGTTGTTTAGGAGATGTATGTAAGAATTATAAGTTCTTGAATTTAAATCGTGGTCAGAAGAAGTTTTTGGATTCTCTGTTCATCCTGAGATAGAGAGAGAGATATATATATATAGAGAGAGAGATGGAGGAGGAAGAGTATGTTATGATTGATCTTGATGACGTTTCAAGGCACATTGACATTCCATCAGATGCTCCTTACACTTTATCAGTTAGTTAGTTAGTTACTTCAAATCCAAATTCTTTAAATCTTGTAGTTCTTGCATTGCTTTTTATTTGACATTTTTTATTTATTCTCTCAGGGTTTGGATACTTTGAATCCGGTGTTGACCATTGATGGCAAAATCAAGCTGGTATTTGCAATTTTTAAAGTTTTCTAACTTGAGTGAGTTACTCTTTTGCTTCATTGGGGTTAGATTTGATGATGATTCTCTCAGGTTGGAGAATATATTGAAACGATTGGTACATGCCTTGCTTTCTCTGAAAAGGGTTAGTTTTTTTTTACGCCATGATCATCTTATTGTTTCAAAAGGAACATGTGTTTTGGACATTGTTTCAAGTTATAGTTTCTTGTCCCTTGGATGTTTTATTTTTTGCTGCTGGTTTTGAGTTACTGTTTCTTCATTTTGTGTAGAAGAAGTTTCAGCGAGTGAAAACCAGATGCCACAGAAGAAGAAGATAGTTGAACCTGTTGCCAAACTCCATAAGATTCTTAAGTTTAGGTTAGCAGCATTAGACAATGAAGATGGAGAAACAAACAATTTGTAAGAGTTTTTCCATTGTTGGCATTCTTAAAGCAGCAATCAAATGAGAGGACAAGCGTGAGATTCTTATCTGTGAAACTATATCTTTGTTTTCTCACATTGCAAAATCTAGAAACAAAGGTAGACATCACCAAACTATTCCATTCAGAGACAAGTTCATCTGCTAAGAATGGGATGGTTTTGTACACAATCACATTCATAGTTAGAGATTCCAACTTCATTAGATGTATGTGACGGTTGTTTCACAGCAACTACTCTCTCTTGAAAAGGGTCTTCCAGAGGTTTTAAAACAGGATGACCAGCAACTCGTGCTCTCCTTTCTCCAAATCTTCAGAGTTATTTTTGGCTCTTCCTTGTATATTTCTGCATCTGAAAAAAAAAACTTCTAAAACTTCCTCTTCAAGACCATTCTTAGCATTGCCTCCTTCCTGTGAACCTTGCAGAGAAGAGTAATAAAAATTTCTGAAGGATTTGCCAATAGAAGGGTTTGGTATAAAATTCTTGCAGTTCTACTTGGTCGCAGGAGGTAGATCCTTGTCTTTGAGGATATCTATATAAAGAGGGGAACAGAGCAAGAGAGTCTTATTTAGAAGAAGTCGTCTATAACAAAGACCAAACTAAAAGTCATAACAAAAGCTCACAACTTCAGTGGAAGTTCCAACATCAGCATAATTCTTGGTATCATACAAGTCAAGCAGTTTCTCTGTACTCTGCAATATAATGAAGAATATAGTGTGGATGCCAAAAGAAGAAATACTCTGTACTCTGCAATATAAGTTTGCATTCGACAATGAAGGATGGAGAAACATAAACAACCAATTTTTACAAGTTTTTTCCTGTTGAAGTCATAGGAGACCTGAATTTGTAGTACAAATCACACAACAAATGACGTACCCAAATACACAACAACAAAAAGTAAAATCTCTTACAATATGTTATTTCATCTCTCATCAATAAAATTCAATCTGGCGCTGCTTCACGCATATGTTACAAACAACAACATAGGTATATTGATGTTAATGTTGTGAAGCTACTGATCTGGAAGTCTGTCTTTCAGGTAGTTCAACACAGCTTTTGTTCCCCTTTCTAGAATTGGCCTCCTGATGCTGTTTTAAGAATGTTGGTGAAAGAGAAATCAATAAATCTGGGAAATTATTGTTTTTATTAATGTATCAGTTTTTACGATTTGGAAAAAATACCTTCTTAATGGGTTCCCGTCAAGTCTTAGAACCTCAAGTGTAGGCTCAAGCAAACCCTAAGGAACAATACACGACTCTTATTACACATTATACATGTCTATATGTTTCAGTTAAGAAAAGCAACAGAGACTTACCAGTTCTGGGGGAAGACTTGAAATATTGTTGTTGGATATGTCCAGATGTTTGAGTGAAGTCATGCTCTTGATACCCTGCATGGGAAAAACAGATCCAATGCAATAATACTACATGAAAACTTTGATTAACTAGCTGATTGTTTCCAGGTTACACTAACATTACATGAAAACTTTGGTTGACTAGCTGATTGCTGCCAGGTTACACTAAATTTCAATCACAGATTCAGCAGCAATTCTACAGTAAAAACCACAAAGTAGAGCACATAGCCATATTATTACCTTGGGAATCGATTGAAGTGAATTCTGGTTCAAGTCAAGGATAAGCAGGCTAGATAAGTTGAGGATATCTTCAGGGACTTCAGATAGCTGGATTCGACTGTCAAGTGAGGTATAAGGTCAGTATAAGGTATCTTAAACCAGTGAATAATATATGGACGCTGAATAATATAAAGTATACTAGCCAACCTCAAATAAAGCTCTTGCAGTTGTGGCAAGTGGCAAAACTTAGGATGCTCTCTGAAAACTGCATTACCACTTAGGTCTAGAATCTGAAGCCCAGAGACTGCTTGAAACCCATCTAGTGGAATCTTACGAGAAAATAATAAAATGTGATGCATTAGGTCTTGGTGGAGGCTATAATCAACTTTTTAATTATTATTCTCTTTGAACATACTTGCTTCAGGGGATTATTATCCAACTTCAAGCACACAAGATTGGGAAGTGACTTCAAGATCGCACCTGGCCAATCTTTAATCTTGTTCCGTGACAAAATTAAAGTCTGCGATTGCAAATATAGTATGAGTTCAATAACAATAACTGATAGATCTTTTATGTAGCAAAGACATATGTAGCACCTTCTTTGTATATTTAAGAAGTATATATATGGGAAACCGGAAACCCTATTACCTGAAGGGAAACAGATGAAGAAAGTTGAGCAGGTAATTCCTCGATAGAGTTTTTAGAAAGATTAACTTTCGTGATCTCACCAGATTCCCAAACTTCTGCAGGGACAGCACTCAAGTTGAGACCTTCCAGAGAAAGTTCCTGAGTTTTGTGCAATCAACTAAGATAATGATTTCCTGTTTCTATTAAAAACATGGAATTCTTAACACAATGGTGCTCAAATCTGTGGTTTCACTTACCTTTGAAGAAATAGACATACGAGCTGCTGAAGCAATTACATTTTCCTTTGTTGGAGTGCTTGCACTTGTTTCTATAATTGGAAACATTTTACAGTTAGCTACTTAGCCGTGACCACTTAGATGAGAGAGAAAGAGGGATGTTGGACAAAAGTACCTTCACTATCAGAAAGGCGGCTCCTAAGATATTTCAGTAGAGCAGCTGTAGGGCCATTTACTAATGTGCTGGAGGCAACAAAAGGAAAGAATATTTGGCCTCTTTAAGTAGCAATAATTAAGACCAGGCAATCAAGAAAGCAGACAGAGACGGTGTAAAATGAAACCTTCTAAGGGTTCTCAAAGGATTCCCAACAAGCACAAGCTTTCTCAGAGTAATCATGTTTCCTATAAATGTGAGGACAAGAAGTTTTATGCTAATAGTTATTCTTATGATGCCATATGTAAATTTCTTAACAAACAGGGGATGAAGAAATGGTTAGTGCTGTTTGTTAATCATACCAAGCTCAGGATACAATCCTGTCAATGAATTATTTGAAAGATCTAGGTACGAGAGCTTCAATTTACATGCGCCAACTGGATATTCCTTGAGCTGAAAATTGGGAGAAAGCACAAGTGTGACCATTGTTTAGAAAGCCATTGTCAATAGATAAAGGTTCGAAAATTTCTATATAGAATGTCAGAAAACAATATCCATCAAAGAAAGGAGCACAAACCTGATTAGAACGAAGATCCAATGTTCCTAGACGTGATAGATCTCCAATCTCTGCTGGTAATGTTGATAGCAAGTTAATTCTGGAATTAAGTACACAGAAAGAAGAATGTCAGTTGTGAAAGTCTCTAATTAGATTAAGTAATTCCAAACAATCTTTCTGAATAAAACGTAGTTGAGAATGACCCCAAATAGAACTCCACAAGGGAGGAGCAACCGCCTATTGATGGTGGAACAGAAGAGATTTCTGCATGAATCAAATATGTAAACAATTCAACAATTACATAGAAGAAATAAGTTTTATATTACATAAAAGGTATGGCAGAAATAGTATTTTCTCTGTTTACACTTACTGTTCTGATGAAGGTCAAGCCGGATAAGACGCGAAAGGCTTCCGATATTTTGTGGTAGACAACCCAAGATATTCTTAGCTGCAGAAGGAAAAGAAATTAAAACGTGTCCCAGATACTCTGAATATGTAAGAAACGCAAAAGAAAAACTAGAAATCATTACATGCATTAAGTTCTGTAAGCATGGTCCATGATGCTATGTGCTTCTCAGAGAGAACTGTGAGCTTGTTTCCCTGCAATAGGTTTAATTTAAGATACGGTAAATCATCTTGCTTTAGCCAAACATAGCTTTAAATACCATTTCTCCTTTCACTTGGAAGATAGTGAAATGAGAAAAAAGAAATGCCAAGTAGCAACTTTAGACTCTAGGAAACTTCTACAATAATACCTCCATATCCAGTTTAGATAATTTTGAACAGTTCACCATGTCTTCTGGCAAACTGGAAATTTGATTATTTGAGGCCTGTGGATAACAATAAGCACAATCATTTCCATGAAAGAGAAGTAAACAAAAATCAACTGATCCAGAAGCAACATAGAACAACCTTCAAATCGGATAAGTCTAAACACCTTCCAAGAGATTCTGGCAATTCTTTAAGCCGATTGCTTGAACAGTCAAGCCTGAAGCGAAAACAGGGAGATTAATCAATTATGAACTGTTTGAATGTGCCAAATGCCTTCATTTAAGTCAAACCACAGAAGTTAACCTACTTGACAAGAGAAATTGCTGAACCAATTTGCTCAGGAAGTTCTGATATTGAGTTGAAGGACACATCCAACGACTTCATTGCTGTAAGCCTATGAATGATTTAAGAGAACAAACATTTGGACATTATCAAGCTAAACAGAGTGGAACCCAACTAAAAAGATTCAGAAATACTTACTCCCCAATAGCTGCTGGAAGTTCAGACAACTTATTGTGACTGACATTTAGCACAACCAAACAGGCAAGGTTCTTAAGATCTTCCCTTAAAACCTCAATGTCATTATGTGCCAAAATCAACTTCTGCAAATCAACAGCCTGCAAAATGGGGACATTTATCCAGTCAGAATCTGATGACAGAACAATGCACCCGAAAATAATTCCAAAATCGAAAAAAAGCTTATCACCTCCCACCAGTTTTCTCCTTCCCCTGTCGTTTCTAGACATTGATATACCTCAGTAGGCACATCCCTGAAAATTGAATCCCAAATAAGTAAATAGTGCGGCAAGCAAAGACTGTGCATTTCATACACAATGAGATCTCGTGAGCAAAAGTCTGATACGAAAATCTTATTCTAAGCAATAGGATCAAAATCTCGAAATTCAAAACTAATTAGACAACCCGAAAACTTGACTGAGTCCCGATGAAGATATGATATTCACATTCTAAACCCTTTTGGAAAAACTAAAACAAACTAACAAAAATCGAAACTTTCTCACAGTCAAACCAGCTAATCTTACAAAAATCTGAAATTCAATCCAAGCAAAAAAAAAAAGGGAAAAGGGAGATGAAAATTAAGAAAACTATATAAACGGATCTTACAAGAGAGATCGATTGGAAAGATTCAGCGAACCAGATGTTCGAGCGGCCTTCAGAATCCGATCCATTATCACACACAAATCCCTCTCACTTCGTAGCTCTTTGTGACAGGACAAACCGGTTAAGAACATGGTTTGGGCTATCTCTGGTTTAGTTAATTATAATTTATGGTTTAGGTTTTGCATCTTTGTCGCTTCTATATATGTAAGGCTGAGCAACTTTCTGCAAACTAATCAATCAAACACAATTTATCTTCTTCAATCTCTTACTCTCTCTCACGATCATCATCATCTATCACCATATCATCATCCATCATCGAATCCAGTTCTTCGAAGCGATCCTTCTACCTCAGTGGTTGCTTTCTAGGCTGTATTTGCCCTTATCTTGTTCTCTCGGTGAGAGCTGATTTGGGATTTACAATTTACTGTTTCACTCTTCTTCTTCTTCTTCTCTGTCGTCGGAGATGATATGTTATTACAGCACTACTCTCCTTTCGGAAAGTTTAATGCTTTACGAAAAAATTCTCTCTTTAGATTTCATTTACAAAAAAAAGATAAAAACTTCACGGAGTTTGTGGGCCGGTTTATTAAATTTAAAACTCATTTTGCCACAGAGGCTACAGCCATGGAAATGCAAGTATCAGTTGCCTAATTCTTTCATCGTTCTTATTCTTAAATAATTTTCCCTTATTGAACTTTACTTGTGCAGTAAAGTTACCTTATTCAACTTTATGTGAAGCTTTTATCAAACCAAAATATATTTCATTATGAGAGATTTATTTAACTGGTGTTTCAAGGACACTTGAAGCTAGCTTAGACATGCATCTCCAGTGAAGTTGGTGCAAGAGCTTCGGTCATGGTTCCTTTGTCTGACATGTGCTTGTCTTGTCCGGAGGTGAAAGGTGGGCAATGGGGACAGCTTGGTGGGTTATAGTAGTGTGGTGGATTCGGATTGCAGCCACCTGTTTGGCAGCCAGAACCGTAACCAGGAACTGTTACTCCTGGAATCACAAAGCCTGGAATCTGTGCGCCTGGAACCACTATGGGAGGGATTGTTGTGCCTGGGACAACTACACTTGGTCCACCACTAGAGCCCTGTCCAATACCGATACCAATCCCTTCACCTGGACCACTACCTTGTCCAATGCCTTCACCAAATCCGCTACCTGGAGCTCCCGTTATAGGACCACAATTGGGTTGGGCAGACCCAGATCCTATTCCTTCTCCAATGCCAATACCTGAACCACCACCATACCCAATTCCTTCACCAAAGCCGCTGCCTCCACTAGAGCCAATTCCTTCTCCAAAGCCACTGCCTCCACTAGAGCCAATTCCTTCCCCAAATCCACTGCCTCCACTGCCATAACCAACACCATACCCAACACCAGAGCCACCACTTCCATAACCCCTACCTACACCATACCCCATAGGCTTTACAGTGTGGTCAGGATCTTCTAGTCCACTCGCCATGGTCTGCATTATCTGATTAGGCTTAACTGTGTGGTCAGGATCCGGTTCATTCACCATGGTCTGCATTATCTGATCAGGCTTAACTGTGTGGTCAGGATCATCTGGTTCATTAGGTTCACCAGGCATGGACTGCAGTTTATGGTCAGGCTTGACCTTGTGCTCAGGATGTTCTAATTCACCGGACATGGATTGCAGTTTATGGTCAGGCTTGACCTTGTGCTCGGGATGTTCTGATACACCGGACATTAACTGAAGTTCAAGGTCAGACTTGACTTTGTGCTCAGGATTTTCTGATACACCCGACATGTACTGCAGTTTAGTGTCAGGCTTGACTTTGTGCTCAGGTCGTACCTCATGGGCTGGGTGTGGCACATCCATCCCAGGCTTCATTGCATTGTTTAGATCTAACTGGCTTGGCTCCATCATAGGGAGATCCTTCAGAATCCTGCGTGCGAAAGTTGAACTGAAGAAGCATAGTAAGAGGACGAACCCAAAGCATTTGCCTTGGTGTCCCAGTGCCATTATTTCTATGTAATAAGTTAATCCTGCTGTACATTTCGGATGAATGATCCCTCATGCTTTTATAGGAGGGGAGACTTTTACTTAAGAGAATACACATCCGGTAAACGCAAGATGCCTTGCTGAAAATGCGCATAAAAAATCGATTCACACACATAGCATGACAGGCGAAAGAAAGAACCTTTATTCCACAACACAAATTGTATGTTTAGCAACTTCTACTATCCAAGTTTCAGAAACTACATCAACACAATCTTGGAAGAAGCAGCCATTATAACAAAAACAAAACAACAAAAAACTCAACTGAGCACTACTTGATAGATAGACTTAGACACTATCGCCATCACCTTGTGATTCTGCAGCTCTCAAACCCTCAGCCATAGCACGAGCCCTGTTCTGAGTTTGTCTTTCTACAGCAACCATGTATAAACCTTCACATTTGTGGGTTTAAAAAGGGTGTCTCAGAGAAACCAAAAGCTCATGAATTTGAGAAACAAAAATCCAAAATCTCTAATATCAGAAATGTGGGAAACGACCATACCAATGGCACTGCCGATTGCACAACCCCATAAAATCCTCATTGACCACTTATCGTTAATAAATCCTCTCGATCCCATACTTTTCTCAGCAAACAAAGCTAGTTTTAACCACTGGAAAAGCAAAATTCATGATTTCAAAACATCAAATCAAACTCGAAATCCTGAAGAGCTCTGCTAAGTATCGGAGATTTTAGAGATAAACCCAATTCTATATATATAACCTGGAGAAAGAAGTAATAAGAGAAAGAGCAAATTTTTCGGAATTGGTCGTAGCGTAGATCAAGGAACTATTTATGAGCATAAGGAGTGTGAGCTTACCAGAAATTAGTCGGCGACCGGAAGAGTGAGAATCGAGAAAATGACTGGTGAGAGGAAGAGGAAGAAGAAGGAACGAGGAATGAATTAAAAAAAAAGGGGCTAATTTGTAAAATACAAAACAAGGAGTGATATTTTAATGAGAAAAAAACTTATGGAGGATTAGTCAACAATATATGAAACTTGACTATTAGTCTTCAAGTATTCAAAAATCACACTTATCGTTTTCTCTTCTTCAATAGCATTCTGTAAAATTCTCAATAACATTCGCAAATGTAATGTGTACCTTATCGACTCAAAAATGTTAAATGTTTGTTGGCAATTTGGCTCTTGCATTTTCAAACTTTATAGAAAACAAAAGAACAAAAAAAAGATTGTCACTTTCTTGTAAACAGCGGAGTTGGACGAAGCAAAGGCGCTTGCTTTTTGCTTCACTTCTCCTCTCATGCACCTAATAAGGCATCTCCCTACTTGACTATTTTTCTTCTGCAAAATTCTATTCTGTTTTTTCTCCTTCTCGGGGCGATTCCACAAGTTGCGATCTTTTCGAAAGCAATTTAGATTCTCGATTAAAAGAACCCTCTCTTTACGGCTCCGGCTACATCGATTTCGGTAAGCGCACTCTTACTTTTACTTATTTCTTTCTATTCGCATTGCTGATTGTTGGAAACGAGGTCTTATCTATGGCGTAATGCGGTTTCGAAACGAGTTCGAGTTGGCTCTTTTTTATGAAAATATTCTTTCTTTTTCGTTTCTTTTTTACTGGTAGGTTTCACATTATTCGCTTTGATTGTGTGTTTCCCTAATTGTGCCACATACTTCCCTTTGCTATATCACTATTCCATTGATTTGTTTCAGTGTTGTGTTATTCCATCGGAACTTAGAAAAGATCGATCATTGAATGGCTTGCGTAGAGTGAAATGTGCTGTTCGCAATTCCATTTATCTACTTAGGTCGCAGAAATGATGCCTGCCAGGTGTTTGTTCGATGCAATTTTCTGTATGAGACTAGGAGTAGAGATTTAAGTCTGAATCTAAGCTGAAAGTATTGTCCTTTTTGAAGAATAATTACAAGCCATGTTCTTCTTTCGCTTTCCTAGTCAGTGATGGTTATTAGGAAGATGAATTGAACTTGCTTTTTGCAGCTTTGAATGCATAACATTCTGGTTGTAATATCGGGAAGATTTTTCATTCAGCATTGTACATTTTTGCATAGCTTCTGTTTGCTAACGGAGCCATTCGTTTTGCAATGTGAATTAGAAGGAGTAATGTCAACAATTGCAAGCTCTTCGCACAGTGATCCTGATTCAAGAAGTTTTCAAGGGCTTCTCGAAGCTTTTGGTTCTCGTTTTTCTCTTGATGTCATTATGGCTACGTACAACCAAGCAAGCCAGAATGTCGATGTGGCTGGTGAGATTCTCTCTGCAATGACTGAAAAGACGCCTCAAAGTGACCAAGTCGAAATGAAGATAGCAACCTCAAAACCAACTCAGGTCTATGTTCCTAAGGAAGTTCGACCACAAGAGGATAACAAAGCCAAAGTACGGAGGCCGAAGAAAAATTCTATATCAGTTGGTGGTACTGTTTCAAGTGTTATCAATAAGGAGTATGCTAGAACCCGGCCAATATCAAATGCTCCCAGAGAAGCAACTAAGCCAATGAAGATAGACTCAAGGGATATTCCAGAAACGGAGATATGGAGTGAAGAAATGCCAAAAAGTAACGAGCCAAAGATAAACAGGCCTCCAACTGAGGTTGAGGAATTCATTATCAAGATGCTTGGAGAAGGCTTTCAAGCTAGCCAAGATGTCATTCACCAGGTTCTTGGTAAGCATACTCTAGCTTTACTTGATTACCTTGACATCTTTTTTCTTCTTGGATATGGTATTAGTGACCCTAGCTGCTAAACTTAATCTGCTTTTCCACCAAAATTATCAGGCGTATGCGGATATGATGTGATGAAGGTAAGCCGATTCCCTTAGCTCTGAAAGTAATGTATTTTCGTTTCTTTAACAGCGTTTTGCTTTTGCACATTACTTTTGTATTATTGAAAAGTAATGTTCACTATATTATTTTCCTAAATATTATAATATGTTTTTACCTTTTCTTGGCTGAATTATATTACATTTTCCACATACCTTGTAGCTCATCAAGATGACCATCAGCTTAATTATACCTGTGATCTATAGTTGCATCACTCTTAATTTGAGCTACTACTTTATCTATTTTAATTGCAAATATACCCCTGATCTACTTTGACAATCCTTTTCTCAGTCTTGGCACTAATACTGACAAAAATTTGAGATGAAGCTGACTATTCATACCCACGGTCGCCTCTAATTTTTTATCACTTGATTGTTAGTGGTATCTCTTAGTTTTTTTCATATGGCTCTTGTAAGTATTTCATAGAGCCTGCCTTTGGATTTTTTTGCTGCTTCTTCTTTTTTTGGCATCCACACTATATCCTTTTTTACATTGCAGAGTACGGAGAAACTGATTGGCTTGTCTGATGCCAAGAAGTATGCTGATGGTGGAATTTCCAGTGAGGTTGAGAGCTTTTGCTATGACTTTCAGTTTGGTCTTTGTGTTCGAATAACGTCTTTTTCTAAGTCTGACTCTGTTGGTTTGATCCCCTCTTCTTAAAGATGCCAAAAGTTTATCCTCAAAGACAGAGATCTACATCTCGCAACCAAGTGGAACTCCAAGAATTTTCTCAGAGGCACGCTTCTTCAGTTCTTCTAGTCAATCTTTGTATTGAACCCTTCCCTTGGGAGTCCTTTATATTTTTCCTATTCAAATTGCTTTTTGCTATGATGCAGTGACGGTGCAAGAACCTTTACTGGTTCACAGGAAGGAGGCAGTGACAATACTGGTCTTGAAAAGGAAATTTTAGAAGCTTTGTTCTCAGGTGCGGAAAGATACGAAGAAGAACCAAAACTAACTCGAAGATTCAGAGAAAGGAGAGCAAGAGTTACTGGTCGTCCTGTTTTTAAACCTCTGGAAGACCCTTTTCAAGAGAGAGTAGTTGTTGTGAAACAATCGCCACATAAGTCTAAAGAAGGTACCTTTTCATATTTTGAGATTATTCTCTAGTTTCTCAAGATTCTTCTTAACTATCAATTTTTTTCGTTTGATAGATGAAGATGATGAAAATGAATTTAGGGCACATCGTAAAGCAGTACATGAGTACTGGAATCAGATGAAAGAATATTACGGAGCTGTAAGCTTATGAGATTATAATAAGGATTTATTTTCCTGATACCATGCCATGTGTTAGCATTGGCTATATGATTGCTATGATGTGATGGTTGCATAACTAAAACCTCGTCCTCTTTGGCAGGCTGCAGAAGCATTCTCTATAGGAGAACTCGAGCGAGCACGTAGACTCGTGGAGAAGGTACAATTTGGAAAGGATTTTTTTGGTCCAAAGTGATCAATTTCTTGTGCTCTATATAACATTGTTTTTTACATCTTCTACAATATAAAGGGACACTTTTTTGGACAAAAAGCTCGAGAAGAGGATGACAAATCTATAGCAAAAATTATCGAAGTCAAGTCGGTTAATTCCTAAGTCCATTTATTATCATTCCTGTACTGTCGATTTCTTCTGTATACCCCATTGGCAAGAAGAGTTGATAAAATTCAAAACCATGCTTATAGGGAAGACGATGATTCGACTTACAAGGAAGACGAGGTAGTGACAGTGAATGTGAACGAACACGAAGCTAAGGAAGCTCTTCGTCTTCTCAAGCAGCAACTTATTTGCTTCTCTGGCATTTCATGTAAGGTGTTAAATTCCTCTCTTAAAACCGAAACAAATCTAATCTGTTTGATGAGTTTGTATTATACTTCTGATTTAGCTTTCAAGTACCTCAGAGTCACATTGGGCAACAAGAAGGAAGATTTGAAGAGCAAACGAAGGGTACTATTTTTACTCATCTGTTTTCATCTCAGAAAAGAAATAGTCTTCATCTCTGAAATACACTTGAAGTTACTTCTATTTATATTGTTTTCTTAGCATATCGTGAAGCTGCTGGAGGGAGATTCCATTGCTTGGACTGAAGAAGATAATGGCCTCGTGATGATGATTCGTGTTGCCGAGATTGACCCCAAGAAATTGAGTTTTGCCAAGAAATAAGAATCATTGGCTCATATTTTTTGCCTCATTTTATAAATTTGTAATTGTAATCAAAGAAAGAGGCATTTTGCAAAATTATGATTTTTGGTTTCAGAGCCATCTGACATTACAATATTCTTATAATGTTTTAGAGATAAAGATGCCACTTTTAAAACCATATAAACCGGCCAACCAAAGAAGAAACAAAACTTATACAGTATGGATCTATCAGTGGGTAAGTCTCTGAGTCTCTTCCTCCTGATTGCTATCTAAAGTTTCAAGCAGAAGAGGTGGCGCATGCTGAGCATTCCCCTGATTATCCTCTGAGTCTTGACAAAAGGAGAGAATGATTGTATCTATCGACATCTCAACCACCGCAAAGAAAAGTGTCGCCACAATATACCCCAAAGCCCAACATGCCTGTGCAAAGAGTCGCAAGCAAACCGATTCAAGCTCAAGAAACATCTGTTTGTATTAACAATCGAGTCTAGAGGGTAAGGAAAAGGTTTTACCAAAACAGGTAATAGCGGGGATGAGACTTTGTTGTGCGAAGACCGATACTTGTGTGAATCCAACATCAAGAATCCAAAGAGAGCACTGAAGAGACTCACACATAGCTTTCCTAGAAACAATATAACATCTCCTATCACATTAACTTTCCCTATCCTCATAATGTTGCTTATGATCAACTCTGTCGCGATTGCAGATGATTTGCAGAAGCTTTTCCCTGTTATAGCAATCTGAAAAGACACCAAGGGACAGACAACTTATCAAGAAATAGTTCAAAGAAATGGGCTTTGTTCTGCTAAAAGGAGGAGAGTTTCTGTTACCATTATGTAGGCATTACGGTTAACTGATTTAATGGTCCACTCCACGCTTTTGAGACAGCCACGTGAAGTGTAATGTGCCATTCTCCAAAACCAGTGATCAGGTATGGTCCCGCTTACTTTTGTTCTCCGACGAATTGCTTCGAGAATGAATCGAACAGACTCCACAAAAGAGACAATGAGTGAACCAAGAGCCACAGATCCTAGGTTGTAGCGTGCAAGCCGCTTCATTGAGGCGAAAACAGGAAGAAATGGTATCTCTGGCTGCATTGTTCAGCAATAAAACCCCAATCATTACATGATAACAAATAATAATGGTCAGCTTCATATATTTTGCTAGAAAATGTTAGCTAACCGATGCTTCCCCTTGAGCCCAATAATAGGAGGCAACAGAGCCAGCAATCACAGTGGCAGAAGATGCAATGAAGAACTGTGTGGCCCAATAGCAACCAAACAGGTGGAAGAATATAGCAATGGTGATGTGAGGAGTGTAACGTATGCTGTAACCGCAACAACGTTCACAATTCACTTTCTTTAACACGAGATCATAAGCGCAGCAGTTAGTGTTGTTGCAGTTGTTCTGAACAACTTGACCAGAACTGAATAGATGGAGAGCCGCTGATATCCAGAACATATAGAATATCGCGAGCATTGCAAACGGTATAGCTGGGAATATAATCAGCGCTTGAACTTCTCCGATTACTTTAGCAGCTACCTGGATATCACAAGTACACAACAAAATGACCTTTCTAGCAAAAACCAAATTAGCAAGCAAATTACTAAGAAAGTAATTCTCGCCTTGAGGACTGATGTTGCCATTAGAATTCGGCGGATGATGGCGATTGAAGTGAGGATAGCAACAACTGAGATAAAAGTCATCAGAATGGCAACTCCACGGACATGAGTCAGCTCCTGGGAACAAGCAAACGCAAATAAGCTTGGAAAAGAATGGGACTAATGGTCTCATAATATAGGGAATTTAAGGTGTAACGCAGGAGTGTTAACTTACTCGACCATACACATGAAAATATGGGTCATGCTCGCCAATAATAGGTGTTACAGCATCATTTCCTATCCAGCCAGCTACAAAGGATACAAAGCGGAATAAGCATATTGAATCCAGATGTCTTGAAACACAGAGACAGAAAGTAGAAGTTTGATTTCTTAAACAACCTTTTAAGTAATAGAATATTGTAACTGATATTAAGAGCATGTTGAAAAGGACAACAGTTATCCAGGGCATGGCGGCAACAAAATGTCGAATTAGAAGCAGCCAAATAATGGATAGAAACAGTGGGACAAGGCCTCCAGAAACGATCAATACTGGCCATGACTTCCCAATGTCAGCTACATAACGCTGTGATAGCACAACCAACAAAAGCTTAGAGCATTCTTCAAACTCATCATTTCAAGGATATGATTACATGTTAATAGAGATGAGGATCATTCTAACCTTAAGAACCGAGGCTCGAGAATTCATTGACCTTCGAATCGATTTGTCTATGATCATGTCCTCTTGGATATTCACACCACCCATCTGCTGCCAGTGGCGCAAAGATGAATTTGAAGCACGAGCAATGTACTGGCAGCTCCAATATACTAAAGAATTAAAGAACAAAATTTGTTACACATAGGTAATATAAAGTAAAAAAATAAAAAGACTACGCTTTGTGCATATATAAGTGCACTCTTACCATTCACACTAGGGAAGATTACAGGGTAACAAGGACCCTGAAGCTGAAGAGAGGAATTCCTCATTTCTGGAGTAAGAAATTCAAAGTAATCATAATTTCTGTCGATCCAATCATTCATCTTGAGACGAATCTCGCCGTCAGGATAGTCACAGACCCAGTTGAGAGTATCATCTGAAGGTGCAGGGCAATCTAAGAGACAAATAGTCCTAGCATTAGCCAATTTGAGTTCCCCATCTTTCAAACCACTTTCATATACTTGGTTAGGGTTTAACCAATATCTAAGCTCAAGTTGAGTAAGGTCACGGTGACGATGCTTGCTACCACACACATTGCCTTCATAGTCCAATCCATATGTGAGTCTGCAAGAACAGTTCATATAAGACATCACCAATGACGATTTTTATTAACATAACACAATCCATGGAACAATCAGCGCAACTGGATAATGAATAACGGTTTAAGCTTTTCAAAATCAAGTTCAAACTGTCTTCAAGGCACACACCAAATCTCTTTTCTAAAGAACACCAAGAAGAAGAAAAATCTCTACTTTACTCTACAAATAGTACTATAAAGGTACAACCTTTGGCATAACAAAAGGTATAAGCAGCGACGACTAGCAAAAACATAGAGGAAGAATTGAAAACCCCATTAGAGGTTTTAGGAGGAAACAGACGAACAAACGAAAGACGAGGCTTTATATTGTCCAAAGAGGTTTTCGAGCAAAATCCATATCAAATCTTACCTTAATGGGTTACCTTGGTTGAAACCAAAGCTGGAATTGACAATCATTGAAACCCAAAAGGCAATGAAGATGACGAGAAACGTAATATCTCTACACTTTCTATTGTGCTTGATGATCCCATCATTTGCAACACTCCCATCACTTGAAGTATATCTTCCAATCACAGCTCCCAAAGGTCCCCTCATCTTTGCCACAGCTCTGTTTCTTCACAGTCTGGGAAACCCTCAAGTCCAAAAACAGGAAGTGCGGAGAGAACACAGAGAGAACCTTTACTAAAAGACTAAAGTGTGTCTTCTCTCTCTCTTCTCTCTTTCTCTGTGTTCCATTGTTCAAGAAGAGAGTGTGAAAGCAATAGGAGGAGGGTACTTATGTCATTTGAATTGGATTTGTGTATTAAAAAAAGTGATTTTTCTCTTTTTGGTAAAAGATAAAATTAAATGGTTTCTGTTCAATCTATCATCCGTGGAACATGAAAAGAATCCATGTCCGGTTCTGATGTGCTTTGAGATTTTTTTGACCATTTTAAAATCTTTGTTCTCCTGTGGTTTTGTATTAGATTTAAAATCAAGCTTTTCTTTTGTTCTTATTCTCTCACTGTGAGATCTGCAACTGTGTAACGCCATCCACTTCATTAAAAAAATGACAATGATTCCACTTTTTTCTTTGTTACTACATTATTAAAACATGAACTTAAGAAAGGACCATAGTTATGGTGTAGAAATTGATGACTAAAAGAAAACAGCTTTGTGATTTATAATACTAATATTATTAAAAGGCTTACACCAGTCTAGTGATATATTACTGAATGTGTCAATGTGGTGTGAATACCATCATAGTTGCGAGGAAATTTTGTTGTATTCATAGTTCTATTTTTTATTAACCTCATTAACAAATTCTTGCAATTGGGAGATACAAAAAAAATTAATGATAGCTTTTATTTAACTTTGAAAGTATATTTATTGTGTATTTGAAAAATCAACTCTTCGAGAATATAGAGGAAAGGTAGCAGAAAAAGCATGGGCCAAGCACCTTGTTTTTTTCAATTTTCTTTTTGTATATTTATTGCTCTGTTTTTCGTATATTTTTCTTTTATCTTTCTGTAGGGAAGAATTATTTCACTGGAAGAAAAAAAAAAGGTCAGAATTAATTCAAGTTACGTGTAACATATTAATTTGTGTTTTGTGAAGATTAGATTTGATAGTTATATTGACAAATGAACTTAAAAATGTTATTTCCGTTTTTTCATGATAATTCAGGAAACCTCTTTTATCTTGTTGAGAATGCTTCATTACATAATGAGAAAACCATTGGTTAAATAAAATTAAGCATGACTGAAAATTATTTAACAATAAAGAAGAAATGCAAAAGAACATTGCCCAATTAAAACAAGGGCAAGTTCATGATAAAGACTTAAAGAGCAAAGAATTGAAACCAGTCCAACATTCGTAAAACGATGACAATGTTTGATGTTTTGGCCTGATATATTCAGACAAATTGGCGTCCCCGAGAGGAGAAGGTTTGGCCAAACCACCAAGAAGAAGGGACAACGTTCAAAAACGTCAGCGTTTTACGGTCAATAAGAGTTACTCTGAAGGAGAGTCTTTGTCCCCGGAGATCACCAGAGCTCTGCCAGTTAGCACCCCAGTTACGGGTCATCTGAAGCCAAGTTTTTCCCTTTGAGCCGCGTACTGCTACCGCTCTCACCGAGCCACCACCACCAACGTTTGAGATCATTACCATATTGAAGTTACCTTGCCCTCTCATCGTAAACCTCACGCCTCCTCTTCTCTTGCATCCCACCCTATAATGTTTTCAAGATTTAATTACTTCTTACAAGCTTTTTAACGTTTAAACAAAAACTTGAGCTAGCTAGCACTCTTTTGATACTTAAATATAACCACCATTAGTAACTCTTAAATAAGCGTTGAAAATTTTGAATATGTTACCGGCGATAGAAGACGGGAACAATGCCTTCGTTACCACGACGTGCGATGCGGAAGAAAGCTGGTGAGGACATGTCAAAGTGATGGCGAGGGAGATTGCACCAACCATTATTGTTGTTTGATGGACAAAAGTTTGTAGCCGTCACCGTCACGGCAGCTCCTCGGAGACACCACTTAGGATCTGCGGGGAAGTCACACCTCACCTGGTAGCACCCACCGCATGACTCACCGCTTCTGAATAGTGCACCGCTTAGGGCCGCCGTGTGGGCTCCGAATCCGGCGTGGTACGGATTGTCATATCCACAAGCTCCTCCTATAAATTTGTTTAAAAATTTAATACTTACTATACAAAGATACTAAAGTAAGAAACAAGAGTATATTAAACTTATAGTTTAATGAACTTATTACCAAGTGAAGCAGGGCTATCATTAACACCGTAATACGTTGCATGAGCTCTTATCCAACGGTTGGAACACATCCCCACACTTAACGTACCAATCAAGAGAATAACAGTTACCAAATATTTTCCCTTCATCTCCATAGATATTTTTATCAGATGTTTTAGATAAGTAGATATCTTTCTTGATGAAACAAAGGAGGTTGAGATCACAAGTGATTGCTTGAAGAAGAAGGAAAACATTTGGACTCGTTTTATAAAGGATCTAATACGTAATAACGCGTTTTGTCGGTGATTATTACGACTTATTTCACTTACATGCACCACAATCTTATGCATGTGTTCGTTATCTTTCTTAGTTGGATCCTTATTTTTTTATATAGCTCTTGAAAATTCTCTAATAATTGATTATATAGGTCTAAACACAGGGAACAAAACTTCCTAGTTGAAATATTATAGTAACACTTAATGTCATATATCTAAATCTGTTTATTTTAGTGGTTTGCATAATATTACTGATATGTTCATCATAGAAAGATATTAAGTAACACCGTTTTAGCTTTTAAATTTTGAGGATAATAATGGTACATTTAGCTCTATATTTGGTAAGAAATGGAAGTGCCTTGTAATTTAACTGTAACTAATTGACATTTTGTTCGGATATTTCATAAGAGGAGAAAGATGTGATAAATAATGAAGAAGATGGGCACAGTTGACAAACGTTTTTGATATCTAGCTAGCTGTATATTTAGTACAGGATTTCGTATCTTTATTATTCAGTGATGTAAAAAGTTTGAGATCTAACTATATACAGTATTTCAAATGATACGTTTTAGTCTATTGATGTATTTAATGCGATCGAGTTCACTAAAAAAAAAACTCGCGTGGTATACATAATTGGATTACAAATCGTGATACAACAAAGACATATAATATATATTACATAGACCCGCGTGTATTAATATATATCTATGTCCTATGCAGTACACATAATGAAACAGTACGGAAGCCTACATTACTCAAGACATATGCGAGTGCATAGAATAGATTGTACGGTGAATTAGAGCTTATGAAGAACAATGGCATGTGCTTCAACGTGGAGTTGTGCTTCTCCTCATCGGCGTCGGTGGATATTTTTTTGATTAAACCAGACAATAATGGACCCACGATAACATTAATAATAGTCAAAAACTCAAAAAGACTTTACAAAAGATTACAACAGAGAAGATAAGGTAAAGAGAGTGACAATAGATAGAGTCGAATTTTGTTGTTGTTGTTGTTTACTCGACCAAGAATCTTTCTATAGTTTTCTCCAGTGTGTCTCTAGGCACAGCTCCAATGATACTGTCTTTCTTCTCACCGTCTTTGAAGATGATCACGGTCGGAACGCTTCTTATCCCGTAACGGTTCGCTGTGTTTGGGCTCTCGTCGGTGTTGATTTTGTAGAATTTGAACTTCCCTGCGAAATCTTTGGCCAGTTGGTCAACTATGGGGTGAATCATACGGCACGGTCCACACCAGGGCGCCCAAAACTCGACCAGAACTGGGACATCTGATTCGAGGACCTGTGTTTGCCATTCTGAATCCGACAGGTTTGGTACTGCACCATCAAAAAAAAAAACAAACAAGTTATAAATCCCTCAAATGAGACAAACTGTAAAAATAGTATACCGAGCATGTCAATTGCAATATAGTAGTACATTGTTCATTGCCAAGTGTAATAGAATCGCGGATGCATATAGAAACAGACTACAAATTCAAGCACAAAGAAGCTGAGTCCTCAAACGAGAGATCGACCAAAATAATGTTATAAGGTTCAGATCTACGAGTTCTACTTTCAGAAACCAATGATCTAATCCCTATGTATCACACAGTGTCAGAGAACATAACAGACGAGAATCAAAGCAATTTGATAGAAGATGGTGTTGTAAAACTATCCTCAAAATGAAATTAACCAAAACATTATGAGTTCCTAAGAATCCAAGTTTTCAAATTGAGTTACAAAACATGATAAACTTGTACACAATTAGATGGCTCCTAAATTTGGAAAACTTATCAACTTAAGATTAACCATCAACTTATAATACCAGAGACAGCTTCTCTATAATCATTTCCACACACAATCAGGACTTGAACACATCAATCACGAGAAGAAGAGTGAAGTTAAGCTGTGTATACCTTCGACGGCAGCAGTGGTGTCCTGAGCCTCGCAGGCGATTCTTCCACCACGAGCGAATCTGGATTTACGATTCGCACCCAGACTCGCCGACTGAGTCACCACCAAACTCCGCGAAGCCCTCAAACCTCTGAATTCCGGTAGCCTGGCGGGAGAAATCCGGCGTCCAGAAACGGACGGAACAGCTGAAGCAGATGAAATCGAAGCCGCGATCGGCAGAGAGAACACGCGGGTCACGGTGACGGAATCGAGCAAAGACGCCATTGAAGCAGAGCGAGTGGTAGAGGAGTTTTTGGCAGATACGGGGGTTCGATAATTCAATTCGAATGACTTACACACAACAGAGGTGATTTTATCCTCGACACGTCATTCTTCTTTATTCGCATTACATAACGACATCGTTTTAAATTACTCGACTCCTCTAAACCGTCAAATCAAATCCGATTTCGGTTAGGCAGCACTCTACCAATCCGGGTTTAGCTCTCACCAAAATCACGATGAAAAACAGAGTCAGTGCCATACTGCCGAGAGCAGTGGCAGAGCTAAAGTTTTGGAAATAAAACTTGTATGAAAGCACAGACACAACAAATAATTATCTAATTTCATTGTTGCGATTAGCTCTTAAAGTTTGGTGAAAAATGAAAATCTGTTTTTAACGAACCTAAATACTCGACTTGAGCATAATCGATTTGGGATCTTAATGTTTTTACTGGGGATAGATGCAACATCGATAACCAAACACCACAAACTTTATTAAAACAATGGAATGTGAGAAAAAAAAAATATCACGAGACAAAACAAGAAGAAATGCTCATTTTAGAACCAATTCCATCAAGAAGGTTTTAAGTCTTTGCCAAGTACTAGTCAACTAAGAGGCATTTTTATATTTTTACTTATTTTTTCTTGTGTGATTGACCTCGTCTTCGTCTTCTTCCTCTTCCTCATCATCGTCTTCATCAAACTCATCATCGTCGTCGATATCCATGTCATCAATCTCATCCTCATCAAAATCTGTCTCCTCTTCTTCCGAATCGACGTCCTCGTTATTGTTCACCACTCGCTTTCCATGAGCCGCCTCCATTTTCCCTATTCTCGCCGAAACGTCCTCCTGCTGTACCACGCCGTCACGCAAACCGGTTTGCATTACCGGAAATGTTGCACGGAAAAACGGGTATTGGCTAGTCTGGTTAACCCGAAGCAGAGACCGAATGCCCGGTCCACTGTTCTGCACTGTCTCAGTGAGATTGGCCGTACGTGCACGGAGGAGTAGATTCACCGCTGATCTACCATCGCGGATGAGTGATCTCGCCGCCGATGATGAAGAAACTGAAGCCATATTTAATCGCAAGTGTGTGTGTGTGACTGATAGCTCAGAGACGGCTAATATACATACACACAGAGAGATCAAGGGTTTAGGGTTTTTAGTAGAGAATGACACCTGGATGGCCACGTGTACACTTTACGTGTCCCCGGTACAAAAGCTTAAACGTAAAAATATCCAAACCTTGTTGGGGGATTAAAACTGACTGATCGAAGCAACTGTACATATGAGGGTGACTTCTCAGTTCTCAATAGTCTCAAGATTTATGTCATAGTTAAGGGAGAGATTAAAAAGAAAAAGAAGAGGATCCATGATTTGTAAGAAAGGGAGAAACTAAGGAAAAACAAAAAAAAAACGAGGAGCCGAACTCAACTAGAAGAAACTCGGTCTCTCTTGGAGCTTGATCTGGTACTGTTGCTGCTCTCTGCAACGTTTTTAGTCTCAGTGCCATTCTCTTCTCCCTCCTCTTCGAGACCGAGCACACCTAAAAGAATAAACTCCTTCAACAGCACTGTCTCCACAAAGGTAGCCACATCTGTCCTAAACTTCTCAGAGCTGCTCTGGCTACTCTCTTCCACATCTTGAGCCCCCTTCACCAGAGTTCCCGGTGGAGCTCCATTTCTATAAGCATTACACGCCTTCAACACGTCGTGAGCACAGCTGTAGAAATGTCCATACGCAAAGTCTTCAAAATACTGCGCATTCAAAAACCCACCAGAACAAATCAATCTCAAGATTATTAGTCAAAAGTTTTAAGCATTTTGTTTTTGTAGGGACAATGTAAGGGGATGACGTTTTTCTTGTTACCTTGGGTGGCCTCCTCATGGTATAAACCATAGTCTTTAAAGACAGTATCAATGTGTTTTCACTGTAATCTTTAGAGTTTTTCTCTCCCATTACAGAACCCGCTGACCTCTCGTAACCAGGCTCGTTGAAGTAAGGTTTCTGATTTAAAATTAGACCTTGGATCGAGACAAGAACCTGTAACATTGTGGATTTGTTGGGGATCCATTTCTCCTCCCTCTGGTTACCAGCCCAAGTGCCGAGAAGACTCAGACACACTTTCCCACAATTGTACAGATTCGGGTTGATTCTTAGCCCACCAGAATGGTAATGAACAATCTTGTAGAACCAAATGGAATTTCACACGTCAAAAGAGATAACCTTTTAGAGACAACAACAAAAAAATCCATTTGAGAAACTCCAATTGACTCACCGGTGGTACAGAAGGGTATGTATCCGGGAAGAAGATGTCAAAAAAGAACAGGCCATCATGGTAGGGAGTTCCTTGGGCTCCGATAATCACAGCCCTTAAAAGATCCATCCTAGATTCATAAGCTCTGACAAATATCAAATCTGTTGCAAGAAGAATAGCAAACAAAGAATGTAAGAAAGTTGCTGATAGCCATGAAAATTAATGTATGAGACAGCGTGTTTACCTGGCAAATCATTCTCAAGAATTTTCCACTCCTCTTGGATCCTCTTCGCCCACTCCTTTGTATACTGATAAAGCAAGGAAATAGTTAAATCCCGAACAACGAAAGAAACATTGCAGAATAATGATTAACTAGTGCTCATCTGGTCGCAACCTGCTTAGAAGTTGATCCCTTAGAAGCATAGTGGTGGTCTGAATAATCTTCGACAATGTCAAATCTTTTGAAAAACACATACGTCGAAAGATAATCCTCCATTTTTCTCTTAACTCTGGAAGGATCTGGAGGTGCAACAACCTCCCCCAATCTCTGCCGAGCACCATAACCTTTTAAACCGGATGTAGATGGAGGTACCGGAAGCAATAAACCAGAAGAAGCTGGACCAGGGGCCGGAGCCTCCCCAGTTACTAAATCGGGAGTCTGAGGCTGAAAAGGACTGGAAAAATACGTTTTGGAGGTTGCAGAAGCAGAACCGAGAGTGAAAGGTGGTGCAGGATATTGGAAACCCTTGCTGTTTTGTGGCAAGGCATAAGCAGAGTTAGGTATGACTCCCTTAGAGTTGTGCGGCAAAGCATTCCATGGTTGAGCAACATGGGTTACCATAGCAGAGAAAGAAGACTGAGAGTGGATTCCACCTCCTGTTGTTGCCTTTTTGGAGCTGCTAGCAGTAACATCTGATACATTCCCATTTTTATCATGAGAAGATTTGCTGCTTTTCGCTGATTCCTTGTCAGCTGAATTTGGAAACCAATCCATTGACACCTCGACACCAGTCGGCACATCCTTAGCATCAAAAAGGTCTTGATACATGGAGTAGTTATCCGTCTCCTCCATTTCATAAGTAGATTGGTCAGCATAGTCGTAGTCGTCATCATAAATCAAAGAATCCGGGTCAAGCAAACTATTTGATACTGGAGACGATCCAGGGTAACCATAAGCATCGCCAGGAGACCCCTAGAATAATTTGTTTTTGAAAAACATGAACTTTTAGTTGTGACAGGATAAGTCATTAAAAAGGAAAAGAAGGAAAATTCAAACACTTACCGCAACATAATCATCATCTTGGTCATCGTAAGAAAGGGAATCAAACTCCTCTATAGCCTTCCCTTTATTCTTGGGATCAACATTGCTGCCATTAAGAACACCACCGCTTAGCGTATCGTATAGCTTCGCATCAATCACTTCTGGAGTTTCAGCCTACAAGGAGAAATTATGCCACGCAAAATTCAGAGTAAGATAAAATATAGATTAGTTCCATTCTAAAGATTCTAGAACAGAAGAAGCACATCAAAACATAGGATTGGAAGAATACAACAAACGAACATGGAGACCAAACTATGCACACAATTGAAAGCGCCAACAGATAAGAAGAAGAAGAAGAGAGGAAATTGTCTAACCGAAGACAAAAAAAAAACACATTAAATAACAAAAGAAGTCGACAACAACATGAAGAGAAACAGAACACGAACAGTCAATTACAGTTTTAAGTGTGATCATAATCATTGAAACATTACAAGCTTAATAATAACCGAGACGACTCTTCAAAACCCACGATCAATCAAAGAGAATCTCACAAACAAAGACATAATGCACATGAGCCAACAAAACAAAGAGCCCTAGAAAACCACACATCAACGACGATGGACTCACTAACTAAGACCCATAAATCAACAAAGCTCGTAAACCCAGATTGATGATGATCGCACAATCCCCCAAATCAATTGAATTAAGATTAGGTAAAAAGACATCAGTGAATTTTGGGTTAAACAGTCAAACAAATTAACCCCTACAGATAAAAAAATCAATCAATTCAATTCAATTTGGGTAAAAGCATTATCAAACCTTGGTTGGTGTGAGTGTTCTCGAGCAAGAAGGAGGAGCGATCTCCACTACGTCTGGCTTCATTGAGAATGATCCTAAACTCTAACGAACTGAAAAAGGAAAAAAAAAACAACTTAAAAACGAAGAGAATTGTCCTCGGATATTTAGAGAAGAAGAAGATGAAATCGATCAAAGAAAAAAAAGTTTTTAGGAGTCATTCACCTTCGCGCCGTATTAATATACCAAAACCAAAAACACACAGTTAGGGAGATTTCCCAAAGCCTCTCTTCTCTCAACACTCAAAAAAAAAAAAAAAAAACAACTCCCCTTCTCTCTCTCTCTATTTAATCTTAATCTTTAATTAAAAACCTAATTAAAGTTATGATTTATGAAAATTTTCCAATTCTATGCGTTTTTTATTTTCCAAGTCAACAAGGAAAGTCCACGAAGATAGGGTCCACCTTAAATCGACGGTTCAGATCGTGTTGCGATGTTAATCATCAACGGTGATAAGGATGATACTATTATAGTCTGCTGCTGTAGAGGAAAAAAAGCCCGAGCTAATACAACACGGTAGGTGTGGAGGACTTCGACCAAGGCTAATGATTTTAGAGCCGTAGGATCGCAGAGTTTTTTTTGGGTAAATCTAACGGTTCGGAACTCTGTTTTATCGTAACAGAACAATCATAGCAAAATCTAATGAGAAGATATAATTGTGAGTTAATTCTTTTTTTCTTTCTTTTTTACGTTTATAAAGTATACTAGATTTTACCCCGTGGTACACCACGAGACCAGTATTTTATGCTTTTTGTATTATAAAAACATAACCGTTTTATTTTACATATACGGATGTCCCTATAGCACACCACGGATCTATATTTATTTTAATAAACCACTGATGTGATTAATTTGTTTGATTTGTAAATGTTACGATGTTATATATTTGTTGTTGTATTTACAAAATTAACCCCGTGATAATTTTTTTGTTTTTAAAATAGAAGTTATAATGTTGTATATATTTTGGTGTCTTTGTAATAATTAATGTAATCTTTACTAACTTTTTTGGGTTGACTTTTATATTTTTTAAAATAATTATATGAATAAATTACATTGATATTTGTAAGACTTGATAAAACTAACCACTGAATATATTCCTTCATGCATAGTGTGTTCCTTCATGTGAGTTACATTTGAAATAAAATTCGTATGTGTATATATACATTCGGGCATGATTGATCTTACCCCGTTTTTCTATAGAATTTAGGAGTTCTTAAAGTTTAGTTATTTATCTTGTTTTGACTATTGGAAAATGTAATTGTACTAATAAAATTATTTTTACATTTTCAATTTTACATTTAAAAGTAATATTAAAATTGCTATATTTCATTCATGAAACTATACAACTCAAAAATGAATATACAGAATAAAAATGCAAAGGATAATGGAAAAAGAATAGCTAATGCCTAATGGTGCCGAGGCCATGATCCCTTCGTCCATATATTAATTCTCATGGATGTGGCAACGAATGAAGTGAGCCTCGTGAGATACCACAAGTTAAATTTGTTTCTATTTTTCTATTATATTTTAAATTGAGCTAGTATGTAGTTTGTATCTTGTATCTAATTAAATGTTTTGTATGTTTATGAAGAATTATAGGTGCTCTTTCTTAAATATTTTTGTTGCAAATTCCAAAGTCTGTAGTATTTTTTTTGGCATCTATGTGGTTCGATATGTTTGGGTTTAATTGATTAAAAAACAATTTAAGCCTCAAATTTTAAAATAGACTTATACCCACATAATCTTATGTAAATATCATGTATTAATATACGTGAAAAAACCGAAAAATTCGTTATCAATTTTATTTTTAGATATTTAATACATCTATACTATTAAAGCTGAAGTACACAATGAATTTACTCTATAGTTTCAAAATGAAATAATTATCATTTCTAACTGGGTTAACACGCGGATCTAACTAACTAACGGATATGTTAATCGGGTTTAGAGATTTAATCTCCATCGTTCATTTTTCAGTTGATAAAAAAAAAAAATTGGTTTTCAATATTACAGGAAAGATAATTATTACGTTTGATATTTAACTTTATTTGTAAGATACAATGCCTAAAATTTAGCTTAATTGGCAAGATTTTCTTAATTTCAAATATTTTATAAAGATCTTGATCGAAATTTTAAACATTGAGTATTTTAATATTTGTTTTAATAGAAACCATTCCATGTTTTCTTAATATGGAATATTCAATGTAGTTGACTTTTTAAACTATTTTAATTTTTAACTTGACCAACCAAATCAATCTATATTAACATTTTTAAATACATTTGATAATATAACTTTTTATTTGTAAGATTTTTATAAATAAACTTTTGTCATTTCATTATATATTAAAAATTGAAGAATTATTTATTAAGTAATCATTATCCTATTCGATTTTCTTTGAATATATATTTCCTTAATCATTTAAAATCCATAATATGTATATATTTCCTTAATCATTTAAATCTAAATCGTTTATATCAAAATCATTAATTTATGCTAGGCAAAATCAACGGATTATATCTTAATTTATAACAATTTACTAATTTATGGTAATTAAATTCGCCTATTAAATATAAACATGATTTGTTATTCTAAGTCTTCTAAAAATGGAATATTCGGATATAATATTTAATATTTAACAATAAAATCACGATAATTTAGTGATTGAGATTGAATAAAGTTATTTCTTTTCAAAACTAAATCTCAAACCAAATATTCTAAAATATTAACTACCCCGTTTTTACAGCCTATATAAAACATTCCATGTTTTCTTAGTTTACATTCATTTCAAAAGCGAGACAAAATATATATCTCACAAAACAAAGCATGAACTAATACAAATTTTCACACCACATGCTTTCATATCGTTTTTAATCAATGTTTACTCATAATATTTTACTTTTTGTGTTTAATTTTTTTAAAACAACTAATTGTAATCTACTTTTTTGATGTAGTAGCTTGAGATTTTGAGGTCTTTGGGAAAACTACGAAGATCAACAACATCCTCCCCAATAAACCCAAAAAACGTGGTATGCATTCGAAGGTTATTTAGTCCTAATTCTTATCATCATATATGTAAAAAAAGTTAAATAAAATGGTTAATATTCCTTTTAAAAAATTTTCCTCTAAATTACATTGTATATATATATATATGCATTTAAGATTTTATCGCAATCGTTTATTTGTAGATTAAATCTTGATCGTTAATCTAAATTTTCAAATATCTAAAAGATTTTATAGATATTATAATTTTTATCTAAGGAAATTTATTAGGTGAAGAATCTCAATATATTATGTCTTCATTACTATTCCTATACGTGAATTAAATATTTCCTAAACTATTTAACTAAAATCATTTATATTTAAAACATTTTTTTAAAGTAAACAAAAGAAATTAAATTAATATTTGTGCATCTTTTTTTATTCACAAACTTCGTATTAAAGGTTTTAATCCAATTTAATTTTGAAAACATTTAATTACTTATTATTAAAAAATAGCACTCCTTTTCTTTTAAAGTTTTATAATATATATATATAAGTATTCATTATTTCCTGAATAATTTAAAGTTTTCAATTAATATATGTGAAATTTATAACCAAAAGGTGTATGTAAGGCTACTAAGGAATAAAATTTAAAATAAATTAAAATTTATTTTAGTGGTTTTATTGTAACTCTTAAATTATTTTCATTGTTATAAAAGAGAAAATAAATTTGAAAAATATATACTTAAATATTTTTTTGAAACATAAGATATGCAAGATATCTTAAAAGATCTTATGTAACTAATATATTTTTTAACCATGAATAAAAATAATATACATTTTATGAAATAAAAAATTTGATTGATAACATTTTTTCTTTAAAAACTTATAAGAAAAAATCATTTTCAGAAACGAAAAAAGGAAGGAAATAAATTTCAACTAATATTACCTCTTTTACTAACCGATTTTAGATAAAAATGATAATAAATTTAATTTTGGTAAGCATTTAATTAATTTAAACTAAATTTTAAAATATTAAAATAGCATTACTTTGAAAGATATTCTGGTCATCTCTTAAAACAGGTCTCTTAATCAGGTCTTGGAATTAAATCTTATTTTCGAATATCTAAAAGATTTAATAGGTATTATAATTTTCAATTAAGGAAATAGTTTAGGTGAAAAATCTCAGTTTTTTTATGTTTTTCATTAATATTTCTAAATTTAAATATTTCGTACATTATCAAACTTAAAACATTTAATTTACCTTATTTCAAGTAGATTAAAGATTAAATTTTATATTAAAATTGTTTACAATTACAATATTTATCATATTTTCCTTTTTTGTTAACATTTTAGCAGATTAAGTTATCATATACTTTTGCCAATAGTTAAATTTTATTCATAAGGTATTCATAAATAGATTATCCAAATTTATGAAATTGTTATATATCACTTATGTTATCTTTCAACCGATATACAATTTTTGTAAATTATATTAAAAGATTGCATTTTCTTATACACCGTTGAGGTAATGTCCGTGATTGATAAATTTAACGGTTTTAGGGAAAATATAATATATACGTACTTATATTAAAACCAGACCTAATTACTATTGTATATATTATTTACTTTCTATACAGTTAAAATATACAAATCAACACGCGATTTAACTCTATAGACTTAAAATTAAAATATACAAGACTATTATGTTTATCCTATACTATTGAATACCAAATATTATTACAAATCCAATTATATCTTTAGTTTAAAAAACATCATCCGTGCGAAAGCACGGGCCATCCTCTAGTGTGTTTTTAAAATTGAAACAAAAATACGTCGTTTATTTAATTTTACTCTAAAATTTCTTCGTTAATCATTGGTAGATTCGAACATACAACGTAACATAAGTTAACAGCGTTATACAAACATTAGCCGGCGTTAAACTTAACCCCACCTATCTGAATATCTATATATCGTTGAAACCACCACCACCGTTGTCGTAGTTCCATCAGACTTTCGTGCTTTGATCTGATGAAAAATAGTAGAGACGAATGAATTACAGTATCAATCTGGCATTCACTCCTCTCGAGTATCTCAGAAGAGGTATTTACTTGAAGTCTTGCATATCATTTTTGTTTATTTAGATCACCACACTGAATGTTTTGAAACTTACTCAAGGTTAAGTAGTTTGAGTCTGAGACAGGGTGAGTGCTTGTAACGACTGTTCCATTTTAACACCTTGAAACATAAGAGACAACAAATATTAGCGATAAACAAAATAGGAAGTAGGTGATATTAACTTTATCATCAGCGAAAATACATTCAAGAGTCTCCAAACTTTGACTTGGACCCTCCAAACTGTTTTTTAGGGACGTACGTCTCTTAGGTATGCTACCATCATTGATAAAAAAAAGGTGACTGATTTCTTCTGCTATAGTTTGCTTTGGATTGTGGTTTTTCGGATAATTGAGGAAGTGGTGAATGGAAATATAACCTATTGCTTGACTTGACGACCAAATTTTGTAGTACATGACACATATATATATATAGTAGAGGGTTCGTGGTGTAGGACTTTGTAACATATAGCTTGACTTTACGACCAAGTTTAAGTAATTTTAAAGTTTTTGGAAAGCAAATTACTATTGTATAGAAAGTAACAGTAAATGAAAAGATCTGATTGGCATATATCCCTAACATTATGCGACGCAGTTATGGATCCTTGTTAATGTTGTTTCTGAATTTAGACAAATCAATCTTATATTATGTTATTTTGAAATTAATTTATATTTTTGGCTGTATTATATAAGGGGAGGTGTTATCTAGACACACATAGAAAGGTATTTAAATATTGAATTGATTACACAAATTTCGACGGAGAAGTTTGTAACAACTAATAAACATTAATGGCTTGTAGTTATAGAAGGAAAGATGAATATAAGTGTCTTCATATGCGATGTAGTTATGACTCTTCTCTCCTCGTATCAAAGTATACAAATGTTAGATCCAGAATATTCAATCGGGTTGTAATTAAAAGATTATAACCGACCCGACAATATAATTACATGATTAACCTTAATGACATTTCATTGTTTAGTTATAAAGAAGGGCATTGTTAGTAAAAATAGCTTAAACCCAAGGTGGTCAAAAAAAGGGTTGTAAAAATAATAAGATAGATAATGATTTTGGATTTATCTAAAAGAAGTACGATGAATCTCCATAAATTGAAGTATTATTTTTTCTTACAAAAAAGAGCAATAAATGATCATCAATGTATAGTGCTAGTAAAAAAACGAAGAGAAAAATTTCAAGTTTAATACAGTGAGTAATTAAAATAAGATATTTCCAATTTTAATATATTACTGTTTTTTTTTTTTTTTTTTTTTTTTTTTTGGTAGGAAACCGGGAGTAAAACTCCCGGCTAATAAAATAAAAACATTATGCAAAAATAAATTACATTCGGACTAGTCGAGGACACACAGTATCTTTGTTTTTATTTTTATAGTATTAGCTCTTTTTGTATTTGTTAGATCATAATAACACCTACATTTTTTTTTTGTTTAAAAAGATCTTAGAAAAATAAATAAAAATAAAAGAGATCCATGCTGGTCTTACATTGGGTTGGGCCTATCTAGATTACGTTCTCTTGTTTTCACTATTGATACTCTTTTAACACACTGCTGGGGAGGCCCATTTGTAAGAGCCCATAAATTTGTTGAGAATAATGAATCTGATTTATATTTGGCAAAAGAGAGAAAAAAAAAAGGAAAGATAAGGGAACACATATTAATTTACAAATTAGAGAATCTCAAATTAAGAAAAGTTGAAGAGGCAGAAAAGCCTATAATTTTTACTCAGTAGCTAGAATTTATTCACAAAACGACAAACCTTTCTGGCTAATTATTCTTGGAGATATTTGTGTGAGTCTTATTGCGAAAATAAATATTTCAGACAAAATGTACACAACAAAGATACAGTGCGCGTGCGCAGTTTAGTTTCTTTTGTACTTTTCTTACTTTGATACTGTGTATGTATGCTTTTTTTTTTAATTTTATTTTAATTTTTTGTCGTGAGTATGTATGCTTTTATATATGTGTTCATGAAATATTACTTTCTAGTTTTTGTTTTTATTGGTAAAGGTAATTACTTTCTAGTTTTGATATGGAGCTTTTATTATTTTATATCTAGCTTTCCCATAAAATATTTTGTATGAACTTTAGATTAGAGAAATCGAAAATAATATTATTTTAATGATTGTATTTGAATTTTAGTACTATTGGAAGAAGAAGAAAAAGTATAATCAGTATGACAGTAGTCATATTTGGAAAAAGAATATAGAGAGCACTCCTTTCAAACCATATCCTTTTGGAATCTTTGAGAAATCATTAGTTCTTGCAAAGTTTAAAACAATATTCTTAATAAGCACTACATTTATAAACAAAACCGAGAAGATTTTGTTGAAGACGTTTAATATTTTCAAATCTTCACCCACCCTTCACGTGTACGCCACAATTTCGTGTCACCTATGATTTGAGCAGGCTTCTATTTACGTATTTTCGCGTCAACTTTCAACTCCCAACTACAAAAGCTATATCTTCATAAATCCTTTATTTTTCTTCTATAGACATTGTATATGTGGAGTGTCAAACATACTGTGTAATGTTTCCAACAAAAAAAAAAAAAAAAAAACTGTGTAATGTGGGTTAAAAAGAACTTAGCTGGAGATTTTTTTTTGTATGAGCTATAGACACTAGAGGTTGAGTTGTTAATTTGTATCGACAATGACATGATAGCCTAATGATTTGTGGTGTTGTTAAGTGATAAACTCTAAAATCCGCATAATACATGATGACACACACTCGAGATTAAATGGTGATGTGAACTTTGAATAATAACTTAATAAGTATATATATGTCTCGATAACTTCATTATATTCCAATGTTCCAAATTTGTTAAACCAAATCATATATATAAAGTTGTAGTATTGGATTACGAAAACAAAAAAGAATGGAGGAATAACGAATATATTGGGGAGAAAAAAAGAGTGAAATGGACACGAGAGGTTGGCAATGAAAGGCTTAGCCCAAAAAGATTCGGTTGTCACATAATTAGCAGAGATTCTCCACTCTCTGCCCATCTATAAATTGCTGAGCCATTGAAGTTTTTATTACAAAGCAGAACAAGAACTCAATCACTACATTACTCAAACAACCTTCAAGCTTTTTTATTCAAAAAAACTCAATCATGTCGAACAACTGCGGAAGCTGCGACTGTGCTGACAAGACCCAGTGTGGGTAAGTGATCTCTTCTCCTTCTCTTTCACGACTCTGCCAAAATCTCTAAATATATAAGTATATGTTGTTGTGTGATCCATTTTGTTGAGCCGTTGGAGATTTTTCTTTTGTTACTTATTATTAGTACTAGCAGAGCTAGTGAACGCTTTGTGATATTGGATCTTGATGCTTGATCTATGTCTGAAACTATAATCTTTGTGTTTTGATTTATTTATATGTTGGTCTAGATCTTGATTGACATATGCTTTCTCTTTCTGTGACTGCAGGAAGAAGGGAACCAGCTACATCGTCGACATCGTCGAGACTCAGGAGAGGTAATAAAAGATGATTGTCATAGTGATACAAAGATATTAATAATCATGATGATATATAACAGAAATGAAATTTGTTTGCAGTTACAAGGAGGCCATGATCATGGACGTTGGTGCAGAGGAGAACGACGCAAATTGCAAGTGCAAGTGCGGATCCACCTGCAGCTGCACCAACTGCACTTGCTGCCCCAACTAAGAAAGTTCCTTTTTTTTAATAATAAAAATGTAATATGAATAAAATTTGATGTGAGCTCATCTATTGAGCTCATATCTCTCTTGTGAATCTTGGTATGATGTGATGTAATGGGTTATGGCCACCTTATCCTCCAATACATCCTATTTCTATTAGTATCATCTTCTTTCCCTTACCTACCAAGCCCCACACTTGCAAGAAAATTGGATAAAATAAGGTTTCTTTAAACTTTTATTTTCAATCACAACAAAATGGGAACTTGTATCCGAAATGCATACATAATCTCTCATGGAGAATTAACCTCCTGTTTTATACCCTAAACCCATTTGGGACGATGAACAATCTATGTTGCTCATTCCTTTTGATCAATCAAACTATGTATTAGAAAAACAAAAGAAAAACGTTTTCAGATGTTGAAACCTTCTGCTCGGAGACACATTTTATGAGCCTCAATCCATTTTGTGCAAGCCGATTCACCATACTCAACGATGCACTCATCTCTAAGCTTCTTTGTATCAGGGCAAGCACAGCATATCTTCTTCTTTGGTTTTGTCTCTGCAGAGGCAGCAACCTTGCTTGACTCTAGAACAGGTGGGGGAGGAACCAAGCCGTTTTGTGCTAGTTGATCACTCATCCTAGAGAGAAAGAGGAAGAACATGGTCAAAAAATATGAACACGATAATGAACAAATAGGCATCAACATACAATAAGTAACATAGGCTAGATTCACAAGAAAACTCATCATTTAAATGTTCAAGACACGATCTTAAAGATCGATATCAAGTCCTTGAAACCTTCGTATATGCTCATTATATCATCAACAAAAACAAATATCGAAATAACAAGTTCTCAACACCAAGCTCAGTAAAAACTAACATTTGCAAGGGTATAAAATTCCATGACAGCCATCTACTTGGTAAAGAAATCGAAAACAAGGGCTGCATCATACGAATCATTTGGTTTGAGAATACTGGTTATCGATTTCTAACAATTCGCACAAACCCATCTAAATATTGGATGATCCAATTAATAATTTTACTCTAGGCACGACGGGCCCCGATAAACACATCTAATCAACATTTACACGAAACTCAAAACCCTGAATCCTAAAACCCTGATTCCCAAATTACGAACTCTAATCCATAAGATAACAGTTATAGCAAACTCATAAACCAATCTGGTAACAATTCAATTCAACGAGAAAATCCAATCTGTGAAAATGTTTCGTCTGCAGCATCTAACAATTTTTGGTACATAAATTCTCAGAACGAACGGAAAAAAAAACACTACCTTTGAATGGATTAAAAGAGGATGAAGAATCAAAGAGCAGAGCACCGGTGAAAATTTCGGCGAAGGGTAATGAAATGGAAAGAAGAACACTTGGCTCCTGGCTTGAACACGAAGGCGAATTTCAAAGTAAAGAGCCACCAAATAAGAACATTTGATTTTGAATGTTCCATTTACGTAGTACAATACAAAGGCATCGAACTTAGTTACGGACCCGTGTGCTTGGTCTATAAATGGGCCTAGCCCAGGCCATTTATCATAATAACAACAAAATTGAGATTGATAATGTTCTTTGTATGCCAAGTGAAGGATGAGCAGAGCACTGGAACAATATTTTGCTTGCTCGAACCTTGGTAGAGAGACTTAGGGACTATGAATACCTGTCATATATTAGACAAACAACTAGAGTGTTGGTTCCAAAGTTCCCGAGGTAGATATGGAGAATGATGCTTATAGTTTGCAGAGTGACAGTAAATGTTCAGGTTGGTTTTGATGTTGAGGACCAGGGAAGGCACACAAAACACAATCTTTTTAAGCACTTGCAAAGAGACTTTACTCTTCTGTACAAGTTAACTTTCTTGTCAGCTATAACAGGCACTTGAGGCTTAGGGTAACTGGGTAAGGTTGGAACAAAAGTAAGCTACATTCTTCGTTATAGGCAGAGGAGAATACCAGAGAATGGAAGTTTGGGATTCGGGAATTTGATTTTTCTTCTTATTACGCAGCAATCTGCATATGAATGTGATTGTCCACTAAAGCATCCTATCTTAGAAGATGAACTTGTCTTTGAATGAAAACTGTTCTAGTTTGGTGTTATCCACTTCTGTTTCATGATTGTAGAACTTGATTTAGCTCCTTTCCTTGAAAACTTGACAAGAGGTTGAAACACTAACAGAAACACAAAGATGTAGTTACACAAATAAGAATCCGACACAACTCATTATTTACACAGATTCAGATGAAACTGATGGTTTCAGAGTTGAAAAATAAATCATTTTCATTGACAATTCCTCTGTTTCATTGACACTTGATCTTCTGAATCTATAAAAACCGACAATGGTTTGATCTATTTCCCCCAGGCTAGTGGTTGTCTTGATCACCACTTTCTAACGAACACACATAATCTTTTGTATTAGCCTCACTACAAGCTTAAGAACAAAAAAACTAAAACATCAATCATACTTCTCTCTCCATGTATAAACGAGGAAGAAAATCCAGGAGACAGCTAAAGCAATGTCTCCAAGGGCTTGCTTGGGACATTCAAAAGCAAGATCTTCAATCTTCCACTCAAACATAACTCTCCATAGAGCCATAAGCATATAGAGAATCACGGAACCACCGGCAAAGAAGCTGTGAAACTCTCTGTCTTTCACAAACGACACCATGAATAGTACCAAACCGATAGCAAAGAGAAGCAAACCCGAGAAAGACTGAGAAATCTGGATGAGTTGCTCGTCGTGAGGCGTTGATCCTTTGAGCTTCTTTGCTATATCACTACCATGTCCAAAGATGGAAGCTTTCTCTGTGTAGAACATCATCAGGGTTCCACTTGTAAGTGCGATTATCGAATGGAGTATACAGATTACGCGGAAGAGATGTGAATTCATCGCACCCTTGTTGATTCCAATTATAAAGAATCGGGCTTTAGCTGAGTTATCAGAGAATCTATCGAGAAAAGGTCAAAAACAAATGGAAGAAAAAGAAGAAAAAAAACCAATTTTTTATTTTAAACTTCAAAGACAGAGATGTGTAAGCTTCAAACTTTCAAACCTGAGGAAGCTATGATGATGTTTAAGCTTTGCAGAAAGAGAAATGGAGAAAAGGTATGGTTTTGGGATATATGATTTAGTGATTTGAAATCTGATGGATTGATTCCACAGGAGAACTTGTGGGAGTTGTTTATGGATAAACCCTAATTTTGTTTCTGATGCAAAAGAAGATTTTTTACTTGTGATCTCGGTCCTCTTTTGGCAGCTTCTCTATGTTCAACAGAAATTCAAACCCACCGCATAAAGATTGCTTTCCGATTATATATAAATTAATTTATAGTTGAAAGAACTGTTTAGAAAAAAATTGAATTTAAAAGACAATAAGAAGTTTGTCCAAAAAAAAAAAAAAAAGACAATAAGAATAAAAACTGTGTTATTCTGATAACGCCATTTGTATGGAAACTTATCCATACTTTCTTGGTAAAACATAAAATTATATTTAACAGTGGAATCAACATCTTAGACCAATTAACAAAAACAAACAAGGAAATATTGTGATTTTAATAAGCATGATGACGTTTCCAATATATGAATTTTCATAACGTAAAGGACATTCATCAAAACTTCAACATCACAAATGGATAACGTCGTAGCCGTTGGTAATACATAATAATAACCCAACATTGTTCCACTTCTAGTTAACTAAAGGTTTGTTGTCCTTTAACGCCACCAACGATCTGATAACGCCTGGGGACGTATTATCAGCAAGAGCACCTAGTTCCGATATAAAAAGTGCCTTCTCCTTCACTAAGCTCTGCAACTTCTTCGATTCAAACTCCAGTTTCTCTTCATCTGCACAGCAACAAGTAGGCCATTTTCTAATGAGGATACTGCATAAGTCTTTCAGGGACAAGCAAGAACTGTGAACAAGATAAAACCTTTCTCTAGCATTGTATGCACAGCATGGAAGGGAACTGCAGCAAATAGATCAGCTCCTGGTAGCATCATCCAAGTGGGTTCACTAGAGTCATGGGATCCACACGTAGAGCAAACTTCTTGGACCAAAGGTTTGCTTGAGCTACTATGTATATCCTTCATCATGGAATCGAATGGAGAAAGAACACTAGTCTTAGTTGTCCGAGCTCTCTTCCTAAGTGCTGTAAGAGCCTCTCGGTTTGCATTCCTCTCCTTGTCATTCTCCACCATCTATTACACATATTACAAGCTCCATTTGGTTAAAAACTGATAACTCACAAAAGACAAAAATAAGCTCAAGAACAACAATAGAATGTAACAGCTTGTGTATTCCAAAAGGAAGTTATTCTATTTTCCACAAGTCATTATGGTAATGAAAATTTCCAACTAAAGGAGATACTACCAAAGAGATTCTTGTACCTGATTTCGAGCTAGTAGGAACTCATCAGCTTCAGCTTCAATTTTTTCCAATAGTTGAGCAAACTTCTTTGGATCCAACTCCATATCTAGTCCCAACAGATTACATAGGCTCAGAACTATGCTTAGCAAAATAAAACATTCTTGTTTAAAGAGGAAAAATGAAAAGTTTGATTTGTGGCATAGTCAATCTTTGCAACCCTGAAAAAACTCCATGTTAAGAGCCCTACTTCTTTATGCACAAATCAAACTGTAACTAAGGCAATCAAAGCGAGAAGCTATGGATACTTGTTCTGCTTAAGCTCAATTTCAACGACTATCTCATTAGACCCACTTCTCTTAAAGCCACTCCATTTTTTTGTTGTATGTACCAGCATCATCCTAAACCCCTGACTATGGCGTTCTATCAAGTGATTATTGAATTTCCCAAAAAAAAAAAAATCAATATGGATGATATAATAGATTCATCTCTCCTAGATACCATTAAAGCAGTTATCAATTCTGTTAAACCCTAAAATATAAAAATATGAATCCCAAACACCCTAAACCACGAAATCTCATTCCTACGATGCAACAACGAAGGCAACCACAACACAACACAAATGTAAAACGATTCTCTAAAGAAAAGAGCGATAAGATGTAACTCCGGGAAAGAAAAAGAAGAAAAAATAAAATAATAACTAACCTTCAATTGGATTTAGTGATTTACAGACAAAGATTCAAAAACAAAAACAAAACAGAGAACCTCCGCCTTCCGGTGCCGCAATGGGACGGATGAAGTTGAACAGCAAAATCAATAAATGCATCATATTGGGTTATGGGCTTAGTATTTGGACAACAAAATGGTCCGGCCCATTTGTTATATACCTTTCTGTTGAAGGCTGCGATCGTTACCGCCGTAATCCGCCGCGGTATGAGAAAATTAGCTGATTTTGACAGTCAAGAGAACGTATTTACCGATCGGAGATAATAAAAACAGAGTAAATTTTTGCATCCACGTAGTGAAAGAAGCAGCTGATGATATCAAATTATCAATCAGGTAAACGTGTCAATGTCAGATTTGAACACGAGACATAAAATTCACAATGTTTCGTAGCCAACGGGGACAAGAAACACACATAATTGTATAATCAATTATTTTTATTTCTCGAATCAATTATACAGTAAGAGTTATCAGAAGGATAAGATTTTGTTCATTTAAAAGACATCTGGTTGGGTCCATTTCCACTGCTACGCTTTGTAGCGCGGGCGTCTGTAACGCGTCCACTTGGCTTATTTTATTTGACCACTTTCCGGATTATTAGATTTGAATAGTCAGACTCGATGGCTTTCGTCAACTCACTAATTCTTATATAAAGCTCATTACCAATCTCCAAATCTTTTCATCACCATTCTTCTTCACACTTCAATCACAAAACAAGACAACACAATGCAGATTCACAAACTCTGTTTTCTTGTTCTGTTCCTAGCTAACGCAGCTTTCGCCGTCAAGTTCAACTTCAAATCCTTTGATGGCAACAACTTGGTGTTCCTCGGAGATGCGGAGCTCGGTGCTTCCTCTGATGGTGTAGGGAGATCCGGAGCTCTATCCATGACCCGAGACGAGAACCCTTTCTCTCACGGTCGAGGTCTTTACATCAATCCTATCCCATTCAAGCCTTCAAACACTTCTTCTCCTTTCTCGTTTGAAACTTCTTTCACTTTCTCCATCACCCCTCGTACCAAACCCAACTCCGGTCAAGGCCTTGCCTTCGTCATCGTCCCTGAAGCTGATAACTCCGGCGCTTCCGGTGGCGGGTATCTCGGAATCCTCAACAAAACCAACGACGGGAAGCCAGAAAACCACATCTTCGCTGTCGAATTCGACACTTTCCAGAACGATGAGTTCATGGACATTAGTGGTAACCATGTCGGAGTCAACATCAACTCGATGACTTCTCTTGTCGCTGAGAAAGCTGGTTACTGGGTTCAGACATTGGTCGGGAAAAGAAAGGTTTGGTCGTTTAAAGATGTGAATCTGAGCAGTGGAGAGAGGTTCAAGGCTTGGATCGAGTTCAGAAGCAAAGACTCTAGGATCACCGTTACGCTGGCGCCAGAAAACGTTAAGAAACCGAAGAAGCCTTTGCTCCAAGGTCCGAGAGTCCTCAATGACGTCCTTCTTCAAAACATGTACGCCGGCTTTGCTGGTTCCATGGGACGTGCCGTTGAGCGTCACGACATTTGGAGCTGGTCCTTCGAAAACGCAGCCAAAAACAACTAAACCGTTTTGCTTCGATACAGTTTGGATATATTTGGCATTGTTGTACTACTACTCAGTGGTAAGTAGTTACTAGAGTGAATAATTATGATTAATGTTTGAATAAAACAAGCCAAATCTGTGGCTTCTCTGTATTGCCTTATTTGTTGTATTCAGTCTAAATAATCAGAGACTTTCAATAAAAGAAACTTGTTTAATATAAAAGTTAATTTTTCTTTAGAACAGGATTTGCTTGAACCACATGATTTCACAAGATGATAAACAAAAGCAAATTTTTGCATCCACGCAACAAAAACGGTTTATCTTATAATATGAAGGGAGAATAATTGAGTTTTCTTTGTCTTTGACGTCAAAGAAAGAATAAAAAAATAGGTTTTTCCATGCAGAAGACTATAAACGTGGAATGTCTTAAATTTAAACACGATATGTGAATTAAAAATGTTCCAATTATGTAAAAGGACAAGAAAATGCATAATGGAATTCAATTATTATCAAGCCTCTCATGCGCTGAAAACAGTAGGTCCATATTTGTTGGAGGCTCTGGCCTCTGGTGTCTGGTGACGTCTGTAACGTTTCCACTGGACGGTTTGAGTGATGATAGTTTTTGTTGCAGTCTAAAAAATTATCAAGATCGATGTCTTCTCAGAACTCTGTTTTCTTGCTCTGTTCTTCTCTCAAATTCACAATTGAATAACCAATGATGCCTTATGGCAACCAAAAAAAAAAAAGAAGTGAGAGATGGTTTTGCTGGTTTCATGGGACATTTGGACATGGCTGTCCGAGTAACACAGCTAAACCAGTCCGATTTCGGTTTAGTTATTTCTGCAATTATATACGTACCCATAAATTAGATTCCCGTCCGGTTGGGAAAAAAGAAAGAACCTGGAAAACAAAAACAAAAAAAATGTTTCTTAATTCCAGAGCAAAAGTTCGAAGAATTGACCCCCAATGTTTGTCTATATTTATACATTTGGCCTTAAAAAAGGCTATTCCTTTTTACGTTCTGTGATATTGTGAGGTGGTAGATTAACCACGTTGCTTGCGTGTAAAGAGAATGTGAAGGGGGATGGATTATATCAAAATACTAAAAGAAAAACCTGAACTGAGTAGATTTAATATAAATATAAAAGAACGACTCCGACAGTGAATCGTTTCTTTCAGCAGTCGTTTTTTGTTTCTATTCTAAAAGGCCGAGATTTTATGAGGCTGAGAGAGAGAGAGAGAGGCTGCTTCTGCTTTTTTTTTTTTCGTGAGAAAAATACTGTGTGTTCGGTGTTGATGTTGTTGTGTGGTTCTATTTCAATCTCGAAAAGATTACTTCTGGGTGGTCTCTCTTAGATACTTCTTATCTTCTCCCTCTCTCTCTCACTAAGCTTGCGGTAAAGAAGCTTCCTTCCTTTTTTTGGCTGTTTATATGATCATAGATTTGCATTTTTCTTGTTCATTTATATCCTTTTGAGTGTTATTCTCAAAAGGGTATCCTAAGTTCTTCAGGTTTCTTCCGTTTATAGCTTAGTTTTTTTTTTTTTTTGATCTTGGGAGGGATCAGTACTCGAAAAGGGGGCTTTACATTCTGAGAGTCTGAGTTCTTGGCGAGTGTGTGACTTGTGATTAAACGATCTTAAGCAATGAGCTGTTGAATCCGAAATGATTCCAGTGAGAGTTGGGAATTCAGATAAGTCATTGGCTACTTGTTGGTTTCTTGTTAGCTTTTGGTGGATGATAAATGGAAGGTTCTTCAAATTCTAACTCCAGGGGATTCAATACCTCTGGTGTTTCAGACAGGAACACTGAGTTCTTACCTGTTGAGAGGATCGCAGCTCGTTCCAAGCCTTCCTCTCATGTCGATGACTATGTCAGAAGCTTGTTTGGTAGTACTAGTAGCACACACAAATCCTGCGAAGACGATTCTTTAGGGATTGACCCTTTTGTTAGGTCCTTGGAATGGGGTGATGTTAGCTTGAGACAGTGGTTGGACAAACCTGAACGATCTGTAGATGTTTTCGAGTGCTTGCACATTTTCAGACAAATCGTCGAGATTGTGAATGTGGCTCACTCTCAAGGCATTGTTGTTCATAATGTCAGGCCATCTTGTTTTGTCATGTCTTCGTTTAACCATGTTTCGTTCATTGAATCCGCTTCCGACTCCGGCTCTGATTCTTTGGAGGACAGTCCAATTAGCCAGAAGGAAATTGGTCGCTCGAGAAGAGAGGAATCTGTATCGAAAGCTATTGCAATTGAAGAGAAAGGAGTCTATAATAAGTTGTTGGAGAGACGAATCGAGAAACTGGAGGAAGAAAAGAATCAACCTTTTCCTATGAAGCATATATTAGCAATGGAGACAAGTTGGTATACAAGCCCTGAAGAGGATTTTGGTTCTTCAAGTACTTGTGCTTCAGATGTCTACCGTCTTGGCGTTCTCCTTTTCGAGGTTTGTGATTAACTAAGAACATTGTTTCTTACAAAGTTTCAACTGCTATTGGATTCAGAGTGTCTGTTTTTTTTTGTTCTTGTTTCGCATGATTTATTCTTCTTGAAAAGGTGATTAGATCAAGTTAGTCCCTTTGCAGCTATTCTGCCCTGTGCCTTCAAGAGAAGAGAAGTCAAGAACTATGTCTAGTTTAAGACACCGCGTTCTTCCGCCTCAGATATTGCTCAAATGTCCAAAAGAAGCTTCCTTCTGCTTGTGGTTATTGCATCCCGAGCCAAGTTGTCGACCATCAATGAGGTTTGCATATTGTCTTTTACTTCATGTTCTTAGTTTGAGCATTGTTAGTCTCTGACACTTTTACCCTACGAAACTGATCAAGAAGTTGTCTTTTATGGTGCAGTGACTTGCTGCAAAGCGAGTTTATAACTGAACCAAGAGATAATTTGGAAGAACGTGAAGCAGCGATTGAGCTTAGGGATAGAATCGAGGAACAAGAGTCATTACTTGAGTTCTTGTTACTGATTCAACAGAGAAAGCAGGAATCTGCGTATAGATTGAGGGATACAGTTTCACTTCTTTCTTCTGACATTGAGCAAGTTGCAAAGAGACAATTAATTTTGAAGGAAAAGGGAAGCTTACTCTCTGATTTCAGTAAAGATGATCATCAGTATCCCTCTGGTAAGCCATTGGTGAGCTTCCATGCAAACGAGGAGCCATTAGCATTCTTGGCCTCAAGAAAACGGTTTAGACAAGGGATTCCAGCATTGGAAAACGATGCTGAAGTTGATGAAGAGAGTCAAGGAAGCACACTTCTTGAAAGCTCCCGGTTGATGAGAAACTTCAAGAAACTAGAATCTGTCTACTTTCTAACTAGGCGCAGGCAAATGAAAGCTGCTGCTTCAGGGAAACCATTAATTAGACATTCACCGTTAAGTAGTGAAAATGGAAGAGGTTCAATGATTGTCTCAGAGAAAAGCTCAGTAAGCAACCCGGTGGCACCTAAAGATTTCTACAATAATGATTTGAGACAAGGGGGGTGGATAGATCCATTCCTTGAGGGTTTGTGCAGATATTTATCATTCAGTAAGCTAAGAGTAAAAGCAGATTTGAAACAAGGAGATTTGTTGAACTCTTCTAACCTTGTTTGCGCCCTTGCTTTTGACCGAGATGGAGAATTATTTGCCACTGCGGGTGTCAACAAGAAAATCAAGATATTCGAATGCAATTCCATCGTAAACAATAACCGGGACATTCACTATCCAGTTGTGGAATTGGCTGGTCGCTCAAAGCTAAGTAGTTTATGTTGGAACAGCTACATAAAGAGCCAAATTGCATCAAGTAACTTTGATGGGGTGGTTCAGGTTAGTTTTAGATTCCGCTCTACCGTTATTAATAACTTCCAGTTTCATAAAATCAAGTTGGGATACATTTGTTTGTGTTTTTCAGATATGGGATGTTGCGAGAAGCCAGTTGGTTACAGAGATGAAGGAGCATAAGAAGCGAGTATGGTCCATCGATATTTCATCAGCAGACCCAACATTGATGGCTAGCGGTAGCGATGATGGAACCGTTAAGCTATGGAGTATCAATCAGGCAATTCTAATTTGAAATGTCGGCTATTGAAAACTGAAACTGATTCCTCTAATAATGCAGACATCTTAATTCTCAGGATGTGTGATAAAGAGCTTTTGTCATTAAATTGTTTTCAGGGAGTTAGCATTGGGACCATTAAGACAAAGGCCAATATATGCTGTGTCCAGTTTCCATCAGACTCAGGACGGTCTCTAGCATTTGGTTCTGCAGATCACAAAGTTTATTATTACGATCTTCGAAACCCCAAGATTCCTCTTTGCACAATGATTGGTCATAGCAAGACAGTGAGCTATGTCAAGTTTGTAGATTCATCCACTCTTGTGTCCTCTTCTACTGATAACACACTGAAGCTTTGGGACTTGTCGATGTCTGCTTCTGGGGTTAATGAAACCCCTCTTCACTCATTCACTGGACATACTAATTTAAAGGTAACTTTTACCCTGAAATCTGCTTTCTAGACTCTCTTCTCTCTCCAGTTTCTGAGAACACATTCTGAAATGTTATGTTCTTGTGATTGTGTTGCAGAATTTTGTTGGCTTATCTGTCTCTGATGGGTATATAGCAACAGGCTCAGAGACTAACGAGGTTGTTACAGAAAGAATAAATAACTTCTATGACACATTATCACCTAAAATATTAATGATCTGAATTTCTTCTTGTTGTGGATCCATACAGGTTTTCGTGTACCACAAGGCGTTCCCAATGCCAGTGATGTCGTACATGTTCAACGACACTGACTCTGTATCTGGTCTCGAAGTCGATGACGCCTCACAGTTCATCTCTTCGATCTGCTGGCGAGGACAGTCGTCTACATTAGTCGCTGCTAATTCCAATGGCAACATCAAGATTTTGGAGATGATGGCTTGAGCCTCTCAAGGGTAAAAGGGTTATCTCATTGATCTCTGGTTCTTGGCAAGAGATCTGCTTTGTTGGAGTACTATAGGGTAAACCATTTTTACCAAAAAGATAGGAAAGTGGAAAACATTGTGTATAGAATTTCATTAAAAAGAAAAACAAAAGGAGAATACAAATATTGGATCTTTGTATTTGTATATTTTGCTATAATTGAAAACATCTCAATAAGAAAAAGGTTATAATTTTTATTTGATTTGTAAAATTGAGGGAGATGAATTTCAAACAAATATGAGACCAGTAGGTGACGTGGAATACAAGGTATCTACTCAACGAGAACAATGTCTAATAGTGTCTTTCTAAGGCCTGCAAGTGCAAGATTCTCTATATGTATAATATAAATATATATATCGTAAGGACAGTCTCACTCTCCCTGAATTTGATTCACATCTCAAAATGATTCCATTTCCCTTCGAATTCCATCTATTTACACTGACTAACTCCAGTTTTGGCTTCGTTAACTAACCTGTTCACAAGTCCCTGAAGCCTCTGAGCTCCAACGCTAGGCTCAATCCTAGCCACATCGCCGACCATGGAGCATTTCGGTTTCCCACTGCACCACCCACCAGGAGTAAAACTATCTTTATCATTCCTCCGTCTAAGTAATTCCTTATCGATCTTATCAAGTACTTCATCGTCTCTTTTGAATTTCCTAGCAAATGCAGCACCGCTCGATATCATGGGGACTGTGTCGTTGAGTGACAACACGTGTGGGTGCTGCTGCGGCGGATTGTCCCAGGAAATGTAGTGAAGGTCATGGTTTATCGCGGTTTTTGAGAACTCGGGAACGTTGCAAATCACTGTCTGGAAGTAACCTTCGGGTGATGAAACGAAGTTGGTGTAATACATTAGGAGGGTTCGTGGTAAATTGTCCCATCCCCATATGCAGTACTCTACAAACGGGCGTGATAGAGCCATCCAAGCTGATCCTGTGACAACAACATCAACCAAAAAGTTTCAAGCTCTGTTGGGCCAAAGAAAGACGCAACACTAAAAAGGTTCAAATTTTTAATGGCAAAAAGAGTTGAGAAACGTTTCAAACTTTGATGTGAGAGAAGAGTTTTGATCTTATAGATACACAACAACAATGTTTCAAGATTTGATGCATGAGAGGAAGTTTTGATCCAATGGAGCTTCAAATGCAGTTTAGAGGAATTAGAGGACTGACCAGTGAATAACTTAAAGGCAGTTGGCAAACTTCGGCGAGGTGTGACCCAGTAAATATCTGATTTGTTCAGCAAGTAGAGTCCAGGATCAATCATTAATGGCTGTGCTCGCTTCTCCCTTCACAAGGAAACAACGTATCAGTCCACAAAAGTACAAGATTCAACCAAACAGGAAACTCAAGAACGCGAATATGCTCACTCTTTCCAACCAAGTTGACTTGTGTGTTCGATAAAATTGAGGTTCCGGTCCAATGTCGAAAACGTATGAAGCAGATCTTCAAACACAGAGATTATTGACAGTACGTTAATCAAAAACAGGCCAGAAATATTGATAAAAACTGAAAATAAAAAGTGAGAGCAGAGCTCATTTTACCATCTTGGGTCACCAGAGGATAATCTGAAGCACTGAGATTAATAAACCAGTCCCAGTTTGCGCTTCTCTTAAGAAGAACCGCGCAAGCGTGAAGAGTATTTGCCACCATTGTTGGTCCTTTATATGTCACAAGATTAGCCTTGGTTATCATATATACATTCCCAGTTTTGGAATACATAGGATCGTTATTAATCCGAGAAGCCAGCTCCAATCTCTCATCCACCGGTGATTCAAGATCCAAATGAACAACATACTGGTTCCTCGGATGGTACACTGCTCTAAGTGTTCTCCAAAGTTTTCCTACATCCCCTTTAGACCCGGAGACAAGGTATGCAAAACGGGGAAGCTTGTCTTGGTGAGGCGGAACACGGGTTTGTCTAGCAACTTTGGACTCTGCAAAGTCAAGTCTCGTTTGATTGCTGACGAGACGAGAAGGGATGATGGAGAAAATCCCGTTGATTGTTCGGAGAGAAGAGACTAGGCCCATATTGAAAGATGTTGCAAGGAGAAAAACGCAGACAAGAGATGTGATGACAAGAGGAAAAACCCATCTCTTCTCCACGTTTACATACCCCATTGCTGTAAACCAGTGATCATGAGATAAGTAAACAAACTTCCTAAAGAAAACAGATCTCTTGGCTAATCAAATCCCTCTTTAGCAATCTGCAGAGACCGACAGAGTGTGAACTGATTTACAGCCCTCTTGGAAACTTCGAGCTAAAAGGCTGAATCTTTCAGACTCAGCAACAATCTTGAGTTCAGGATCGTTTCAGACACAAGATCCTGTCAGAGAAACGCAGATGTTAGAAACCCTGGTAAGTTTTCACTTTCCAGAACCAAAATAGAAAGAATAAGCAACCGTAACACGCAGCTGAAACATTTAAGTTGCCAGATTCTCACGCAACATCAAGCATAAAGCTTGAGAATAACGAAACAACTCTAGAGGAATAGATAAATTCAATACAGAACGACAAGGCTCTCCACCCAATAAAAACCTCTTGGATCGAGATTCATAATCAATCAATCAACAAGACATCTCAGCAGCTGGATTAACCTTCAGATTAAGCAACTCTTAAAAGTTAAAACCCCTCAATAGTGACATTACCCATTTCCAAAGGAAAACGTTTCTTAAAAACCCCTTGTCATAGATTATCACCGAGACCATCAGAATCTCGAAGCCGAGATTTAGATCTAATGCACTGTAGAACATACTTTATTCATCTCAACGATACAAAAGAAAAACCAAATCTAGAGATTTAAAAACAGAGATCGAGAAACAAAACTATAGGACGACGATAGATTAAAAAGATGAAAGAACCTGGGGTTTAGGTTGTTGCCTAGATAGATACTGTTTAATCTCGAGGCAATGAAGCTTTTTTTCTTCTTCTTATATATTCTGCTACTTTGTTCTGCTCAAGAACACGGGACACTGCTGTGTCGAGAGTTAAAGTTTATATAAAAGATGAAGAGACAGACACACAGTGAAAACAATAAAAATACAATTATTCTAATCTAGAAATTTAAGCTGGAAAATTCGTAGAGCGTGTGTGATACTCCGATTCGTGGAAAAATCTATCTCTACTTAAGAACAATACAAAGAAATTTTCCAAATCTTTGTTTCTAAATTAAATTTCGTTACTTTTTCATTTTTTTTTTTGTTTTTGGGGTTTGTCTCTCTCTCTCAGTTCCTTTATTTCTGGAATCTAAATTTAAACGATTTTTAATTAATTAAAATTACACGAAGTGGAAAAAGAAACCGTTTGGCTGACACGTTTTCAGAGTTTTAAGATACTGGGGTAGCTTCAAGTCTTTATTCTCTACATTTACGTTTATGTTAAGAGTTAAAGAACACGCTACACTGATTGGCTGAGACTTAATCTAAACAAGATCCAACGGATAAAAAGAAGTAATATCTGTGGATGTGCGCGTAGCTGATTATAAACTCTTGACCTTATTCGAACAAGACATATTTATTGCGTTAGTGATTGGGCTAGTAACAGACACGTATCGTGGTAATATGATAGCTACATACACTTCTTTATTACTTACCATAATTAAATTAGATTTTTCTTTAATTGATCAGTTCACTTTGTGACGAATTTATAGTAGTATTTTCACTCGAATGTGAGTTTAAGAAATAAGAAATGAAGATAGAGAGAGAATAGTCTTTTTTACGAATATAATAAGACCCCAATATAGTTTCATTTCATATAAATTCGTATTTGAAATATAAATAAATGATTGTACGGGAGAATCGTTGCTTTCCATCGTTTTTAAAAAACTGAGGTCCACCACAGGAGTCTCTAGGAGAAGTTATGGTTTCACACACATGAGTAGACAGCAGCGTAGAGTAGAGTAGCTGAACATTATTATAGATTGGCATATGAATACGACTTTTATGATACAAAAATTTATTTGTATGTTTATGTTGCGCTAATTACGTATTGACTGACTGACATAAATAACTATTTCGCCAAGCGCGTGGGGGATGAGTGGGTCACTAAACGAGTCACGAGAATCATTATTGAGCCTTGATGGGCTTTCTTCTAATCATAATCTTTGTATCTCTTTCGACGTTGGTAGGCCTTTCAAATCCCTTTCGGCCCAAACTTGGCTTTCAATTCCTTTCCTTTTCAGCCTTTTGTCAAGCCAGCTAGTAGGGTCAACAAGATCAAGACAGTGTGGAAGGTCGAACTCAACTCGTTTCCACTATATAAGTTTTTTTGTACGTGCTTATTTAGTGTTATATGAGATATGTGATGTAAGTGGATTTTTTAAGTTGAACCAAAACAAAAACAAATAACAGAAATTGTGAGATGAGCTAAATCCTTCAAAATAAAAAAGAAAGCTATATACATAAGAGACATATGTTCTTTTATATAACACAAATCTTTATTCCAATATTTTTTTTTTGATAAAAATCATTATTTTTCAACTCTCATAATTTAGTTTGAATCTAGGTAATAGTTTTTTCCAATTTAGTAACTCAAATTTGTTGATTGTGTCATTTTATAGTTGTAATGTCTATCTTATTTATACGTCGCATTTTCGGATGATTTGTAATGTCTGTCTACAATTGTTTTGTTATTTTGGAATTGTAATGTTTGTCTGCTATTGTTTTGTTATTTTGGGGTTGTAACGTCTCTCTGATCTTATATATCGCAACGGATCAAAAATTATTTGTTTAACGTTTAAATATATAAAGATATATTTTTGCCATTTTGTTGTTGTAACGTTTATATGATCTTATGTGCTATATTGTCGGCAAAACCATCTACTTGATGTGTAATGATTTTGTCAGGTTGGAGTTGTAACGCCTATCTGATATTATATGTCACATTGTCCGCAGATCAAAAACCATCTACCTACATATAACAATATAAAGATATCATTGTCGTTTTGTGGATGTAACGTTTATCTAATCTTATACACCACATTGTCGGCGGATCAAAAACCATCTACTTGATGTATTACAATAGAAATATATAGTTTTGAAACGTCTATTTGATATATGTCTTGTTGTTAGCGGATCAAAAACTATCTGCCTGACATATAAGGACATAAAAATATTGTTTTGCCATTTTGTAGTTGTAACGTCTATCTAATCTTATAAACCACATTGTCGGGAAATAAAAAACCATGTACTTTATATATACTGATATAAAATATATTTTTGCTATTTTAAAGTTGTAACGTTTATCTGAACTTATACGCCGCACTGTCGGCTAATCAAAACCCATTTGCTTGACATATTATCATATAAGTATATTGTTTTGCTATTGTAGAATTGTAACGTTTATCTAATTTTATACCCGCATTATCGACGGATCAAAAATCATCTACCTAACAGAACATATAAATACATAGTTTTACTCATTTTCGAAATACTGTTTTGATATATGTCTTGACCTATAAATTTTGAGAAGATATATTTTTATCATTAAAATGATTTGAAATATACGATAATAAATACTGCTAAATAAAATAATTCCACATTTTCTTTCGTAACGTAAGATTTCCAACATGAATAATTTATATGATTGATATTGATTTTTGTTTTACGTGAAATAACCGATGTTTTTATAAAAGTAAGAAAATTCAGTCTTTCGATATCTTGACAGCTTGTAATTGGACGAGCTATAAAACTAGTTGACCATATTTCGATAACTTTTGTGCATTGTCCGTTGCATAACTCTTTTTTTTTTTTTGGTTAACGCATGAAACATTGTAACCGTAGTTAAATGCTCAAATTCGTTTCTTTTTTTTGGGAGGTAGTTAGGGATACGTGGAAAGATTTGTCCTTTATCTAAACGACTAAACATAGTCAATTACTGTAATTAAAAACTGTTTGGTAATTAATAGAGCAGTGGAAATTGAATTTTACAATGTATCCCCCAACAGATATTTTCGATAATTACTAAAATCTGCTTGGTAAAAATAATCCAAAGATAATATACCAGCTTTAAACAATTACTGTCTAAATGTTACATATATATATGTATTGGTACTCAAAGATTAAAAAGATTATAAGCATTTGAAAAAATGTTATATAAAAAACAATGCAGTTAAATTTAATTATTTACATAACGACAACAGTAATACAAACAATACTAATACAGTGATTTAAATATAAACATTCATCAACGCTTATTGATCCGATCGATCTTAGTATACGACAAAAATAAATATTCGTCAACGTAAACTAATTTGATCAACCCTAGTATACGACAAAAATAAATATCCGTCAACGCTTGCTAATTATAGTATGCGACAAAAATTAAATGTATTGATCGATCTTTTGTACGTAAATAGATTGTAAAAATATGAATAAATAATATAAGTGAGTTTATAGACATTTCTAATTTTGAACCACCTAAATATACTATCAAGTAATGGATATGCTCTGTCAGAACTTATTACCCATAAGTTAAGTAAATTATTTATTGAATAAGAGGACTATTGTTCATCTAGACTGAGAGAATTAATCTCACTTATTTCCTTGCCAAAAAATACTATATAGATCACATACGAATTCATGCAATAGACAGGATTAAACTAGTCAAATCCAGCGAAATTCAACAGTCAACTCACATTTACAAGAGTTAACTTTGACTAACACTTAACCTTTAGCCTAAGATTTAGATGTTTTTCCTTGCTGATGATAAAACATTTTACGCACTTGCCACTTTCGCAGTCAAAACCAAGTTAATTTCGTTAATTTTAAAGTGTTTCTTTTGTAAATAAATATAATATATTAGCTAAGTCCAAAAATAAAGTATTTGCCAAAACTAGAACTATTAAAAATATTAAAGAAATATGAAAAGGTCCAACACCTTTTTTTTTGAAACGTATAGTGTAGCAAAGTTTGATAGGAAGAATAGACAAAAAAAAAAAAAAAAAAAGGTAAAGAGAAAGAGATTAAATACATGTAAATATATATTTCCTTAAAATGATTTAAGGATGAACAAGAAGATCTTTTTTTATATAAAGGCTTCAAGATAGAGATTTGAAGAATTAGGCAAAAGAGAGAAATCTCTCTCCATTGAATTGAATTGATAGAGAGAAGAAAGAAGAACAGGGTCTCTCTCTCTCTCTCTCTCTCTCTCTCTCTCTCTCTCTCTCTCTCTCTCTCTCT